GCATGTTTCTAAATTTGTATGTCTCACATGCCATCGGTACAGTCTTTAATTCGGATGAGTGGTAAAAAGACCAAAACAAATGATGTCAGTGTATTCATAACAGAAAATGATTCAAAAGGTAATAAATATAACGGAATTCGTATACTTGTATATGTTTAAACTGTTATCACGCAAATCAAACAAAGTTTCTATTGAATTAAGTTTATAAGTCATGTATATGCAAATGTTAATTATTCAGGATTGGATAAATATTGTTCTTTTATTTGGCGTCAAATAAATTACAAAAAGATGTTTTAAGTGAGGACGTTTTTCTGTTGAATGAATATCTTCTCGGTCCATGTTATTGTCTTTTGTGTCGACGTTTGGTCACGATCAGCCATTGTGTGTTGAAGCTGTTGAGTATATTTCACTATTTGACTCTATAAAGGTGCCGATGTAAAACTGACAGCATCACCGTCATCGGCCATAGAAGGAACACCACTGACTCTGACGTGTTCTGTAACACAGAATAGCTCCATATACGCTTCGTTTAACTTTATAAACGGCACAGTTGTTGGATTTGTACAGTTGTTAAGAGGTGATTGTGTAAGTGGTACAGGTCAGGACTGTGATAAGCAGTGTAGCTGTACCACAGACGGTAAATCTTACTCCTGGACAGTCGCTAATGTAACCGGAGACTGGAACAATGCACGGATCAGATGTCAGATAAACAACCCTTCCGCTCAAACTAGTAATATCCTGGTGGTCGACGTAATAAGCAAGTATTGAAAACATGGATGAACATATTTCAACCTAAACTTATTATAGAACATCGGACAAACTGCCATTTATTTTATGGTTATAGAATATTGTGTCACATACCATGCACATTGTATGGTGTATTTGGTAATACTTAAGAAATATATAGCAGTAAATATCCTGTATTCATAATTTTCGGTCATTGGAAAATAAAATACTTTTGGAACCAAACTGCACTGTGTTCAAGTGTGTTGTTACAGATAATTCAATATACGTGTATTGTAGTACTTCTATCGAATATCGATTTTTTTATTGATCATTGTTTCTAACAGACGATTGATAGCACAATTTTGTTGCGTTACAACATTTAGGTAGCAGTACAACACATAAAAAAAACCAATAACACGTATCGACCAATCACCGTTGTGATATCACAAAGCCAAAGCAGGTCAAAGGTCTAATAGCTGTATTCAGTATTTGTATAATTACATTGAGTTTGGGGGTATATCAGATTTACACACTATACAACATCATGCATTAAGTAAAATCAAATCGGCTTAAAACTCCCTTACTGATCACAGTCTATTTTGTTTGTTTTTATTTGTTTATATTATTTTTAAATATTAACGTATTAGAGCCCTTATGTGGAAATACATATTTAATTTTACAGTTCCCGTGACAAGTGTGGAAATACAGCCACCAGCTGGTCAGTTGTTGGACATCACAGAGACTCAGTCCACTGACGTTATATGCGTGACCAGTGCCTGTAGACCCTTCGCCAGCGTCTTTTGGTCAGTTGGAGGGATCAACTTCACCTATGCCGGTGCGTCCTCAGTACAAAGTGTAACCGGTGACCTCTACATTACCACCAGCACGCTGACCCTTACTCCAAGCAGGGCACTGTCAGGACAGACCGTGGTGTGTACTGCCTCCAACACGGAAACTCAGATACAGTCAACACGACAACCAACACTTAACGTTAGACGTAAGTGAAGTGATACTTACCCATACAAATATGCACTGTTACAATTTCATGTAGGTATAAAGTCATACATATATAAATGTTGAGAGAAATAACAACGTGTCGATACTCCTTGCCACAAAACATACTCTTGAAGGTATCAGAATAGATTAATCATGAACTATATTAAAGCCTTTCTTAATGGTGTGTGTTGTTCATTGAATTCTGCTATGTGACGACTCTTCTTACCGTGTATCACTGAACGGTAGACTATGTGTAAGCATACAGGCTATGCAAGTGCAACGCTCTTCGTGAAATCTCACCCGTATTGCAAATGTAAATAAGCGAGCCGTTGCAGTGATTACTTTATCAAACGTTTGTACAAGCAAGTATGCTTCTATATACATTTGTAAATTTGCTAAAGAACAAACAAACTTTATTTTTAACCTCTGAATCTACCTGTCGAGCACACGATCAGATTGTGTCGCCGATTTTAGCAAGAAAGTGACTTACACAAGTGCTGGTTGACCTGTAAAGTGTTGATTTAATATGATGACCAGCGATGTCGATAGATTGATGACCAGCGATGTCGATAGATTGATGGGTTTAATCAACTGGTATACACATCTTGCACGAAAACATGACGTCATTGCTTATTATCGTCATTCATTGAATTGAGAAAGCAAATGACATCTAAAATGAAGCTTGTAGGGTTTCTAAACCACAATGGGATGGTCTGCCAACCAGGCGTGATGTACTATGATGTTGACTTTCGTCAGGCGCTTAAAACTAGCTCAGCTTGCTCGGGATGAAGGTTCGATCACACTGCGAGTATGATGTATCTTTTTAGATTGATCGTTTTGTTTTCCAATATTTACATTTACCCAACAAACTATAAGGCATATACAGAGCAGGGGAAATGCGACAACTGCTCTCAGCGTCAGAAATGATGAAGACATAGGCCACACGTGACAAATGTTTGAATGAGAAAAACAACCCTAATTATTATCGTATGGAGGGTTCGTACCGTAACAGGCGAATTGCTATGATCAACAACAATTCAGTCTAATAGCAAATTAATACCAATGGTATCATGTTATTGTCTAATTACTGTCACATTGATAGGTTTACCTAGCTTGATCAAAACACAACAATATGGTAATAACATATAAATAACACTCCTATGATATGTGACAAATCTTCTTCCCTTTCTCACCCACACTATTCTTAAAATAAAGCTCAGACAAACTAACTGTAGACGCGCACCACCAGTAATGTCACGATAAACACAATGTGCCATGAGTGTCTTTGCCTCTGCGCCAAGCTAACCCTTCTTCGCATGTGTGACTACACTAACACAGCTTCACAGATTCTACTTATGTTGCCCATGTCTCGTGTATGTAAACCTTAATTATTTTACAAAAAATATGAAATCAGTTATTTAAACCTATATTAATTACCCTGGTTGGCCCGGATGTTAGTGCGCGGGTGATTTTAATGTGGGAGGAAACCCGAGTACCCGCGGAAAACCCCAAGTGGTCGGGCATATGACCCCATACTTTTTCACGTCCTATCGGGGAATCAAACCCCGGTCGCCCACGAAAAAGGCAAGTGCTCTATCCACTGCGCCACCCGATCAGACAATTCCATGTCTATGGTACCGTGAGTTACAAAGCACCTAGCTTGGTCACAATATCTCTAAACAATTGTAAATCGTTGGAGCTAAACATGAATAGGTTTGAATGATACAGAACCTACTATACCAGCAACACAAACTTATCTGTAGTGTGTTCTTATCAACTCTCTAACACAAAGTGGGCCGTCTGTATGGACCTGTTGCCATTTTACCCCGCGAGAGAGAATATGTTCATATACTTGTAAAGAACAAATGTCAATAGTTTTGAAATCAAATGCTAATTGACGCCTGCTCATAATAAAAAAGTGGAGGCATGATAAAATTTTAAATGATCGGGTTCGCTAGGTCAACCTGCATTATATTGGCGCTTGGTCACTGTGATTGACATGAAACATGAAGTCACATATATTGTATGTATTAGAATAGATACAATTAGCATGTGTTTTAGTATTATGACGGATTATAAAAGTCGGGATTCGAAAATGTTGGAAAGATAACTAACTTTGGCCAAATGGCCTTCATTGGTTATTTTTCCCAACTATTTTGTCACCTTCGTTATATAAACGCACGTTTGAGTTAAATTTGAATCGAGTTCACGCAGCAATGTTTACCTACATGTAATTATGGATGTTTTATGTTGTTAAGATCGTCCTGAAATCTTGATATCACCGACCAGCGACCCGTACGTCATCTCTGAAGGTCAGAAGAATATAACCTTGATGTGTACTGTTACGTCTGCCAATCCGAATGTCTCATCCTTAGTCTGGACAAAGGAGGCTACTGAGTTGTCAAACAATGGGGTGTACAATTTACCCGTCCCCACAACGGGGGTTGCTGGAGTGTACACTTGTTCTGCAGTCAATGATGATGGTACAACGTCGTTAAATATAACGTTGAAAGTAACCAGTATGTATTCATTTTTTCTAATGTTTTGTATTTTTTTTCGGTTAGCAAACTATGAAAAAACACACTATTTTGAGAAATGGTGACATCAGAGTCTAATAACGTGTTTATATTCTTAAATTGCTATATTGGGGAGTGTTTCATGTGATGCAGAAAACACACATGCTTTCGCCTTAAATGTTGTTAGATGTGACGGCTTCATGTTGTCTTTCTTTTATATTTAGTATATCTCAGTTACATGTTGTTTCCTTACGTTAATGATTTTGAGTTGCAGTCTTGTGCTTGTTTGTTGATTTTATGGAACATTTGATCGATATGTGCACATTCACCGTGATACATCTGACCAAGACAGTCATGTCTGATATCATATTTAATTATAATTATCATATGATTTTAGCATTACCTACAACACCAAACATTGTTGGTTTTACGGAAGTGACGTCATCAACACTAACAGTGAAATGGACGCCCAATGACAAGGGAGATATGGCAAACGCATTCAATATTTCCCACGAATGTAAAGACTGTGCAGAAGCTGAATCCACTTCCGTTAACCTGGCTGACAGAGGGAATATATATTCTTCCAAGTTAACCAACTTATTCCCTGGATCGGAGTACTATGTAAACATTACAGCTATTAACATGGCCGGTTCAAGCAGTCCCTTGGAACTTATTGTGTCGACATCACCAGGTATTTCACGAGCGTGATTCTTCTTTAACAATTTTGTGTTGATAATATGAGGATTGAACGGCATTTTTCAATGTTTATGCTGGTATGAACGCGAATCGGTCACATTTACAGCATATTCCATTCAACCCTTAAAATGACGTTAACGACTCGGAAAGCTTACACGAATTTATACAACATGGACAGCCAACAATATATATAACAAATGATTAAATTCCTATTTATTGATTGCTTCAATTGCATAATCATTATTGCAGCAGACACGTGTCCTTCCCCTTTAGAAGATACCAGTACTACCTCGACTGCTTTGTTAGTGGTTGGAATCATTCTTGTTCTGATTGCAGTGGCTGTTTTAGGAATTTCGATCTTTGTGTACCGTAAGTAAAAACAATTTACTGGTTAAATGTTATATTGATTGATATTCTTAGATTGTGGTAGCAAAAAAATGTTATTTATTATTAAACTCCTTTGTTGTAAATTCTTTGTTTCTGTAAAAGTAAGATTTTGTTTTTTCCATTTTGAAAATTAAATTGAAATTAAATTACAAAAAAGTTGTTTCAGCAGTGACATAGAAATATAGAGTTTGTCACACTTTCCTCCACCTCGAGGCTCCAGCGTTACGCTCACTTACGTTCTCTGCATCTCGCGAATATGTCATAGCAAAATTGAAGGCTCAGTGCGTGCCACCTTTTGGATGAGACAAGAAGACTAGTTCGATCCTTTAATGTACATCAGAAGAATCTCGCGGTCATGTAACAGTAAAAAAGACAGGCTTTGAAGTCGGGTGTCGCTCTTTTGTAATCTTCAAAGGACAGGTTTCAGCCTAGTGATTGGTCAAGTGTTTTTTTTTTTTTACCTGAAACCAATCAAACAGCTATCTTCGTGCCTTCAATTTCGCTATGACATATTCTTGGGGTGCAGAGAGCGAAAGTGAGCGTAACCCCTGAGGTGTCGAGGATGCACTTTCCTAAAATTAGAAGGAGTATTACGATAACTAATGAATATTAATATTATTTAATGGTAATTCATGAAAATAAATTCCTGTATTTACTTACGGTTGATACTTTGATAAGAAATAGTTATTGACCTGTGCTGATTTTAATTACAATTTTAATGTCTATGTCAGATTTAAATCTACCAAGCAATATATTTTCTGTTAAGGAAAATCACGGTTGCTCTCTAAGTAAGTATGATTTATTAGAAAAACAATATAAATGTGGAGAGAAATAAAACAATATTTTTCGTATTTCATTGACTAAGGTTAAAGTTTAACTTTGACATTTCATTACGTATGAACTTAAAAGACGTCACTGACCTATTGCAATTATCTAATAAAGTCTTAAACATTTCGATAGTCATGTCACCTTAAAACAAATTGTTCATTTCGAAGCATAAAATGATTATTGCACAGTTCATACGTAAAAGATAAAGATGTATAGCAGAAATATCAACATCAATCAGCCAGACCTGGCATATAATTAAAATTTTACGAAATAAAATTCCTTTTCAAAATTTGATTTGATTTGCTTTAGATCGAAGAATAGAAAGGGAAATGATCAGAAACCTGTCAAATTCAGCAATGTACAGCAGTCCAAAGAAGGTACGTTAAATTGGTAACTTGCTGTATGATATAATGCAAGAATGGAAATGTAAATAAAAAAGTACCCAATGTTGTTCCAATCGCAAAACGAGCATTTGTATTGAAATAGACATTCCAAATATAACTTATGTCATATACAAACTTACATTTACTTTTAACATCCAGTAAGTGAAACTGATAAATGAAAATAATGTTTCATGTAATACTTGTTTTTTAAAGTAACATTTCTTTTAATGATAAATACAGTTGACCTATCAATGCAAAGCCTTAGAAAAGATGAGGAGGTCTTTTCATCTACTCAATATAAGTTATTAGGAGATAATTTTCAACTCAATAACTGATACATAAAGGTTCAAAGTAAAACATGATATATTTTAAATAAACTGCTTTGCCTCAATAAATATTTACATGCATCAATTGCGTGACTGACGAAATAAGTTTGTTACATAAAAAGTATTTGTAGTCGGGCGGTTTCTATCAATGTGACAAATAGCAGAAAATGGCAAACTTCGTATTTTAATCAAATATGCAAACGTGAAATGAATTGTTGAGACCGAAATGGAATTTTCGTTAAATATATAAAGCAATGAAGGATAGTTTTAATGTCCATCCAGGTAAACAACAAGAAATTGTGGAGGAAAGGTAAGTAAGACGTCATTATATTTATCGACTTAAACTTTTGTCATGTCTCTCAGTAAATTATTACATAAATATGAGCGCATTTAGGTTGAAATACCACATAATTATATGGTGTATTCGTTGAAATATAAATTTTACATTTTTCCGTAAACGAATACAATATCTAAATAATTAAGCTAATAGAAAATTCAGTAAGCAAAAAGGATCGGAATATTGATTGCGCAGTTTGCATTAAGTAATGCGGAGCTATGCTTTTAAAGAGCCTATCAAATGCGAATGTATTCCATGTTCATTAACCCCACATCGAACTGATCAGTTCCTAGGCATTTGCTAATATAACAATAAGGGTACAATGATAGTTTTCACCTGTTCATATTAATAGAATACGCAAATGTCCGGTTGTTGCACAAATCATTTAAAACACACCATGAGTATATGTTGGTAAAGATTAAAAGCATACGTTTTCATCTTCTACAAACGATATGCATGTTTAGTCTAGCATCACCGATGAAGCCTAGAAGGACGAAGCAGCATTTTGGTGCAGTGGAACTTATTTTTGACGTATTGTATTGACTACCACATTTTCAGGGCGAATTGTTAAATTTAACCTGATAACACTATATGAAAAATTAAAACTTGAGATGAAAAATAAAAATCAATAAAAAATATTATTATCATTTTCAGAATATGTTTTTGCAGCGTTCTTATTATAAGGCACAAATTGAAATTTTCCAGCTTATATTTTTCTCCTCAAACATTCTTTGTTTTCATATCATGGCATAATAATAAAATAAATATTGCTGACTGTTTAGGTCTTATACATAAACAACTGAAGTGCTTTATATAAGTGGGTAAATATTTTTTTTTCTCGTTAATAGAAATGATTACAATTATACAGCAGTTTTACAAATTGTTCGAACAACATTACGATGTTATGATGTTTGTCGCAATGCCATTGTTTTTTCTTTAAATCAAATGTGATGATAGTAAACACCGTCACCTCACGACATTTGAGTGATATAGGTAGCAGTGCACAGTAGAAATGGCCCGACTCTGATAAACAAGGCACATGTCGAGGAAATGTAAACACAGCGGATATACCCTACACAACACATGTATACATGAATATCTATTTGTAAACTGCATTACATTTACATATAAAGTACTGAGAAGTGTATAAACCTCTTTTTCTATGTATGTCACTTATGTCACATGGTTACCACATCAAAAATTACCAAACAATGCCAATAATTGCTATTTCTGACCCAAAATTTGACCCCCGCAACTAGTATTTTTTTTCCTAAATTATATCTGAAATTAAAGATAACCTACCTGGTTGCAGAATTATCTGGGTCCCAGTAAAGTTGCAAACCTAGATNTTTTGACCCAAAATTTGACCCCCGCAACTAGTATTTTTTTCCCTAAATTCTGTCTGAAATTTAAGATAACCTTCCTGGTTGCAGAATTATCTGGGTCCCAGTAAAGTTGTAAAACTAGATTTTTTGCAATTTTGCATCGTGTGCTGTTGTCAAAATTTTACCTCCTGTAAAGCTAGCTTTTATGTACAGGCACCTTTTCAGATTATGACCAAAAAAATCTTCTTTTTTTTTTTTACAAATGTGAAGCTCACATAGCCCACTTCATCATGCTAATACCAATTTTAGTACAGTTGTATTTCTATATTTTTTTTTACATATCATTATACAGGGGTTAGCCATTTAACAAAAATATCACCCATGGCCACAACCCTCTGTATACTGCTACCTATAGCTTCGTCGTAGAGATATCTAGACATATATGTTGACTTTAGCGTAATTTTCTAGTTGAAGTTATTGTCGTGATGATATAAACAATGATTTTTGATCAGATATGTTAAACATAAAAATGTTAAATTATTGCTTTTTATTGTAGGGGCCACTATCAGGAGCTAGATCCAAATGACATACAGAAGCCCTCCCCATATTCATGTCTCTCTGAAGGTAATCTATTTTTCGCCTTTATAGAGTATAGGTTTTGTTCCTGTTAATTAATGTAAAAATGAAATATCTAAATGTGCTTATTACAAATAAAGGAAATAATAACAGAAATAATTAATGAGAAACACACCGTAAACAACAATATTGCATGGTTGCTTCTGTAACCAGACCTTTTGCATTTAAATTTGTTTTAAATAATGGATATTTTGTAAATTTATTCAAACGTATCATCATTTAACGTTTAACTTATCATCATTTTTTAATCTATATTTTACAAGGTATGCGCACCTATATCAACAGCGGAAGTATATTTATTTCTCTCTTTTTTTGTCAGACAACAATGAGGCGGGCATTGAAACTGTAAGGTGAGATAAAGCTCTTGTGTATTTAACATAAGTTAGTATTACATGTATATAGTCCGGAGACAATGATGATGGCACTTGTAAATTATTATTTGCTGTTGAAAATGATAAGTTATCTAACAAATTTAAAAAAATGTATTATAAAACATTATTTTAGTGTCCATATGTTGAGAAATACCTGTATCACGGGTAAGGAATCCGTTCTCAATTTGCGAAATACGTTTTAGATTAAAATAATGGGACAATTATTGTCAGGGAAGCAAAATTGACATTGGTAATAGTAGTATTTGAAATAAGGTGCTATATAGTTAACTCATATGTTAAAGACTACAATAAGACACATTTAGTTTTACTTATTTAAAATCAATGTCAGTGATGATATATCACATACTCACATATCACATACGTATATGGTTTTACTAATGGTGTTTTTATCATATTGTGTGTTACCAAGAGGAAACTACGAATCCATCCACGGCGATTCAACCGCTAGCCATGATTACATAGAAATCAAGGAAGATGTTGGTATGTGGACGTAGATCATTAAGCAAATATTTGGTAGATTAATGAAGTAAAAGACTAACGTTGTATAAGACAAATAATATATATTATCTGTAACTGAGCGATATCAGGTTATCTCAGTCGAGGGCTAAGATTCTGTAACTAAATTCCAACCGAGGCGTAAGCCGATGTTACAGGATCTTTGCCCGAGGTAATTGATTGTTTTCTCGCAGCTTGAAAACTATTCCATTTCCAGAAAGACTACAAGGTCCGTCTGGGGCCTCAAATAAAAATGACCCCTCCACTATTAATTCCACACTTGAATGCTTCCGCAGGAAAATGTAGTCCGTCCTTAGAAAAAAAACAATGCATTTCAAAGTCTAGATTATATTTTATTTACAACATCAGATATCCAACATAAAAAAATACATATAACGACAAAATAAAATATTTATAATGCATATTTTCAATTACAAGCCTTTATCGCGTGGATGAATACATCGCAGTGTCAAAATTCTGCGAAATGGCACATAAAGGTACCAGACAGATCGAACGAGATAGAAAAATCTAGCATGGAGTATGACGTGAGCTGCGAGACAATTTCATCTAATACATGTAGGAAGTAACATACTAGTATTCGTTTGAAACCAATGTTTTATGAGACAAAAGTACCTTTTATCTAAAAGTTTAAATAACTTAAAAGAGCTGGAAGAATAAATCATTTCATGATTTGGCAATGATAAAACGAATCGGAACTCAGACCATGTACACTGATATGTTCACAAGATACAATTTTCTAATCATTATTTAATTGCAAATTTCCCCATGAAATATTTTACACACTTGTACTGTCTCTCAGACAAACAAACCAAACCCGCTGCTCCTGTCAACATGTGTATTCCAGAATGCCCCGTACCGGAAGTACGCTCCACAGTACAATAAACTAGAAACCAAATACCGGGTCATTAGATCCGGAATGCAAACACTACATCATTATATTTCCAAAATTTGTTATTTCGATTAAGAAATGCTCTATGCAATTGAGGTGTTGTCAAATGGATAGCACTTTTGGACTTCAAATATCTCTTGTTTAAAGATTGAAAAAATATTTTCCAATAAAGTCTATAGATTTATTTTTTAACTGTCTTATATTTGAAGAGCTGTTTGTTTTCGTGTTCATAAGCCCGAAGGTTTGACCGTTAATTCAGTATTCCTCCGAATAGGGAAACATGAAACACGTTTTGCTACTGTCAAAATAAATGAATTAATGAAAACACAAATATATAAAGTAAAATAAAACGCATGAAATATAACTTTCACCCAGTTTATAAATATGAATCATAACTCTAACATTATACAGAAAATGCAATGGTGAACTAGTATTATACAAGGAATGTAATCAGGAATAGTTCCTTTCAGTAACATTTCGTTTAACACCGTTATTTGCATTTCTTTATAAAATACGATGCATTAGCACGACTACTGTGTAGAATACATAACAAGTATGGTTTAATCATCAGCTCACTTCATTGTATTGTATATTACAGGTGTTGTGTGTTACAGCTTTATATCATACACATGTCCTGTTACAGCGCATGTCCTAGTAAATACACAATACAATATTCACATTCGAAAAATGTTATACATTTCGCAGTTTACAACATAAAAAACGATTTTTCATTTCAGACACAAGACGTTATGCAAACACTTGAAGAAGTACATCCAACAACATACTTCTCAAACGAAGAGAAAGCAGTACTTCAAACCGAGGACGCTAAGGATAGATAAACGTTTCCCGTGAAAAAGGGAAATTATATATATATATGGTTAGCAGCCTCATTTGTCAATTTGGTTTAAAATATTTTTCAGACTGATTTGTATCATCAAATACTCTACTGATACAAGTTTAATAATGGAAGGGAATAACAATACAAATAATAAGTTCATAACTTGCCTAATATTGTCTCTAATATCATATCTTAATTTATGTTTTTACTTTAAGGATTGTTTAGAGGATATATATTCTTGTTTGAATGTAGAAAAAGAATATGTGTCTTTCTACGTTTATATCTGAGGTTTGTATTGTAATGGAGATACTTATAGCAAGTGTTCCTTTATTTATAACTTGTCGAGTATGATATTAAATATGTATATCCGCAGAGAGTTCTATCTTAAAGAATAAACGTTAGTTATAGCCCTACTACCTGACCTTTACAGTCAGTCTGATATCTCACTTGTGTATTCCGTTCATCACCCAACTAGTATAAGTCGGTAGGTTTAGTCGTTGTAGTTATTTAGAGTAAGGGCATGCAAGCCACGTACACATGTATGTCATTGACTGGTCTTAGTAGCGAACCGGTATAAAGGGGGTCAAAAGTGATGAGCAGTGTAAATGACCTTCGGTCAGTTTCAGACGCTTGACCAACATCAACCATTAGGAACAATTCCACAAATTCACCACACATCCAACATTGTAGTTTCGGTCAAAAACTTCAGTTAGAAGCTGGCTGCAGTGTGGGTTTGTTATTTATTTATTTAAGACAAACTTCCTAAGGGTACCGATACAAGCTTTTAATAGATCCCGGGAATATAAGTATTACAGGTGACTCAACACCTTAATCGTGTATCGACCGCCTACTTGTAAATATATATTATCAGGTTCATAGTAATATAAAATTACAGACCATAAATTAATGTTCAAATATTTAACTGTAAAAGTTTTTAAAAGCCATGGCAAGTAAAACATGATCTGTGATAATTTCCGCGTGTATGTCATTAATATGTTAATACATGTATGTCTATTTCTATTTTGAGTACATGCATGTTAGTACGTTAAATAACTAGTAACATCCAACATTCTATAAAAAACGACTTTACGTTATCGTATGCTATATACTCCAATATGTATTCCAACACTCTGATTATTGTTATTAACAATATCATAAAATATTCATCTAAACGCTTTATGAAGTTTGTTCTAATAAATAATAGTATACTACAAAGTGTGATATTTGATAATGCTATATTACCCTTTCTTATATATCCGCCATCCGCCATGGAAAGCATGCGTACGTTTAGGTAATACCACGTCCCCACAAAAATAGACTTTTCCCAATGACCACAAAACAACCAGGATTTTTTCTGTAGATAATGGGAAATCGAAAAAAAAAAATCGAAATCGACACCTTACCATACAGCTTAGTTTTAAGCTGTCCCTATTGGTAATCTTGAAAGTGAGGATCGAGGTAAAGGATTCTATAGAAGAGTATGTAGCGTCACTGATAAAACTTTTAAATCAGTTGATAATAAATAACATACTATGACTTTTGATTACATTTTTTCATCTGCGATTATTCTAAGGATTTATACTTCATTTGATGCAGCTCCACATATGGAAGTAATAATTTACACTTTGGATATTAAATGGGTCTAGCAATACAATGGTAAAAACGATCACGATTTAATTGCAGTTTTGATATCACGTTTAATGTTTGCCTTCAATGAGATTAAGTGCAGAAAATATGATAATGCTGCATGATATAGCATATATTACGAATTAATATGATAGGTCCATGAAGTATTTAAAGAGTCAGATGTTAGTAAGTGTAATGTTGATATTTTACCCGAGGTTTCAGAATCTTTTTCAGAACTGAGCTTTACCGAAAGTTTGTTAAGACAATTCATATAATAAGCAAATGGAACACAAAATATAGCAAAATATATAGATGTGTTACACACAAACTACGGCCAGGTTTGAAAATTGAGAAAAAAGTAAGTTATACCAACGGTATACCTCTAAAAAGACTTCAGGACAAGCTTGTTGCAATAATGATTCTGAGGTGGTTTGTCATGCCGACGACAAGATTGTCACAGTCAGCCAAACGACGTTTTGATTTTGACGACATTATATAAAAGCGTCATCTGATTGTGACGTCAGTGTAGTAAAGGTCACTGATTGAACCTGTGTAGGAAAAGAAATAAATACGTTTATATAGTATTGCTTTTTATAGTTTTCTGTTGAATAGTCATATTCAGCTGTTATCACTTACTGGTACAATAAGGTCAACCCTATTCCAGGATAAATGTTTTCCAAATAAGTAGTTTAACGAAACATTTACAATGTATTTCGGATAGCACGGGTTATAATTGGGTTTGTTGTCGATTTGATTCGGCATTGAGGAAACGTCTTCCTGATATCTGACAACAAATGCGCATTGAAATTAATTGACATTTTTAAAACACTTTTAAAAGTGCAGACGCTATCTTGAAATGTCTTTCAATGTACTCTTCTGTTTCAAGGATTTTGTCTAGGAATTTTCAATATCCATTGCAACATTAGTTTATAATGCCAAGACTACATTTAAGAAAAACAAAAATAAAATGTATCTATTGGTCTCATGGTATCTTCTTGAGAGCCTCGACAGCGACTAACAAAGCCTGCAATAACATCTTAATAGACAATAGTCTGGCGGAAACAAACCATTGATCATTTCCGTGTCGGTCTATCGGACAAGCACACATTATTCTGAGGAGAGTCACATTATCAATCATTCTGAATCACGTCATTGGAGATTGATATACTCTTTCACCCCCTTGCGGTTGAGATGGGGGAATCTCAACCCGAGGGCAAATATTCTTGGGTTGTCAAACACGAGGCTTCGTCGAGATTCCCCTATCTCACCCTCCATGGGTTGAATGATTTTTTCTCTCTTATCCTGTTCACCCATTATGTATTATACATATAATGTCATGATAACGGTACAGGCTTAATTCAGGGTTGACGTGACGTTGATGGATTGTTGACGTGACGTCATCGTATTATTGACGTGAATAGGGGAATCCCTAGGGTGAGACAGTAAAAGTGTGGATACACCTGTCCAGGGTAAGAAAAACTACAATCCGGGACATTTATGTGTTAGTCTCTACGGACATAAATTATAGATTAATCCACGCAAGGGCTTGGGAAACAAAAATGTCAGTCTGATTACAGAAACACAATATTAACTTTGAAGGAGTCAAAAGGTTTCATAGTCATTTTTTCAATGTGGTTATTTTTTCCAATTCTAGCTCTAGTTTCAAAGATGGTAGCACTAATCAAAACATGCTTCCACATACTATACTGTTAATTGAAACAGTAAAGGTATCATGAGACACACACATAGAGTTTTAATATTACGTTAAAACACCTAGACAGGTGAAGTTAATGTATTTCTAGCAAGTGTCAAATTTCATCAACACGCATTTTAACACCAAGAAACACAGTACAGACATAAAAGAGTGCAATGTGAGGCAATTGAGTGTCCCCTAACGGTCAGATGAGTGTCAGAAAGTGAGTTTGTTTGCACAGATTAAGGTCAAAGTTCAAAGAGTTACACTTGGCATCCTAAGATTATCTATATAAAAAATTGTCTATAGGTAATATAATAATAGTTCTAAACATCGGATACAGTGACCTTCGTTTAGGATTTTTCTCATGTGTGTCGTTCTCACAGCAACGAATGACAGCCTGTACTTTTTCTGTCATAGTTTAGTTCTTCATTTCGTTTTACCCATTATACTTTATGAAATATATAATACACACACATGATCAAGTGTCTGAAACGTTCCGCTTATGTGACACAATTCAGGAAGGAGAACAACTTCCTGTTGATGCTATGCATGTCAGAAGACTATCAAACATTTATTCATACATACATACAATACACAGTACCTTAAGTATAAAATAAGGCCTGTCTGACAACATTATGCACATACATATTTATCCATATTGAGTTTTGTCCATCAATATTTAATAAATCGGTAATGGATTGGGGTTAGTATAACATAACAATGCTTTCCCAACAGTAGTGATGTATGTATCCTGAACATTTACATAACTCACAACAGTAGAAATGTGTGTATCCTGAACACTTACCTAACTCACAACCGTAGAGATGTTTGTATCCTGAACACTTATCTAACTCACAACAGTAGAGATGTCTGTATCCTGAACACTTACCTAACTCACAACAGTAGAGATGTTTGTATCCTGAACACTTACCTAAATCACAACAGTAGAGATGTCTGTATCCTGAACACTTATCTAACTCACAACAGTAGATATGTTTGTATCCTGATCACTTACCTAACTCACAACAGTAGAGATGTTTGTAACCTGAACACTTACCTAACTCCCAACAGTAGAGATGTATGTATCCTGATAACTTACCTAACTCCCAACAGTAGATATGTATGTATCCTGAACACTTATCTAACTCCCAACAGTAGAGATGTTTGTAACCTGAACACTTACCTAACTCCCAACAGAAGAGATGTATGTATCCTGAACATTAACCTAACACCCAACAGTAGAGATGTTTGTAACCTGAACACTTAACTTACTCCCAACAGTACAGATGTTTGTATCCTGAACACTTACCTAACTCCCAACATAGAGATGTTTGTATCCTGAACACTTATCTAACTCCCAACAGTAGAGATGTATGTATCCTGAACCATTACCTAACTCCCAACAGTAGAGTTGTTTGTATCCTGAACACTTACCTAACTCCCAACAGTAGAGATGTTTGTATCCTGAACACTTACCTAACTCCCAACATTAGAGATGTTTGTAACCTGAACACTTACCTAACTCCCAACAGTAGAGATGTATGTATCCTGAACACTTACCTAACTCCCAACAGTAGAGATGTCTGTATCCTGAACACTTATCTAACTCACAACAGTAGATATGTTTGTATCGTGATCACTTACCTAACTCCCAACAGTAGAGATGTATGTATCCTGATAACTTACCTAACTCCCAACAGTAGATATGTATGTATCATGAACACTTACCTAACTCCCAACAGTAGAGATGTCTGTATCCTGAACACTTATCTTACTCACAACAGTAGAGATGTTTGTATCCTGAACACTTATCTAACTCCCAACAGTAGAGATGTTTGTAACCTGAACACTTAACTTACTGCCAACAGTAGAGATGTCTGTATCCTGAACACTTACCTAACTCACAACAGTAGAGATGTTTGTAACCTGAACACTTAACTTACTGCCAACAGTAGAGATGTCTGTATCCTGAACACTTACCTAACTCACAACAGTAGAGATGTTTGTATCCTGATCACTTACCTAACTCCCAACAGTAGAGATGTTTGTATTCTGAACATTTATCTAACTCCCAACAGTAGAGATGTTATTATCCTGAACCATTACCTAACTCCCAACAGTAGAGATGTTATTATCCTGAACCATTACCTAACTCCCAACAGTAGATATGTATGTATCCTGAACCATTACCTAACTCCCAACAGTAGAGATGTTTGTATCCTGAACACTTACCTAACTCCCAACAGTAGAGATGTCTGTATCCTGAACACTTACCTAACTCACAACAGTAGAAATGTATGTATTCTGAACACTTACCCAACTCACAACAGTAGAAATGTTTGTATCCTGAACACTTACCTAACTCCCAACAGTAGAGATGTCTGTATCCTGAACACTTACCTTACTCCCAACAGTAGAGATGTTTGTATCCTGAACACTTACCTAACTTAACATAATATCCCAAAATGGGCATAAAACGTCAAATGGCCGACCACATGGGGAATCTGTTCACCACCACGCGCTTACAACCGGGCCAAAAAACACTGATTACTTTTAAGTCGAATGAACTTGTTTCTAAATTGTTGGATAAAAAAAAAAAAATGATATTTCTACATCTACATTAGTTTGGTGGATGATAATACAAATATCTAAACATCACCATTTAATTCATTTTGACTAGTTCACCAGTTATCATTTGAGGAACATTGAAGGAGAGTAAAATAATTTCAAAAGAAAAGTTAATAATTATGGTAACACATACAGAGTTAATTCCCCTTGCTACACATTGGAAACCGGAAGTGTATCCTTGAGGCAAAGCCAATTGTGTTTCAACACATACATGAACATTGTTTTACAGTAATAACAATCTTCGTGTTTTTATTACTGTTTTATTTAGATAAAAAATGATATACATTCTTAGTGAAAAAAAGTCCATCACATACAATGCGATACTAACATGCATGAAACTTCGTTAACAAATGATCATGCTATGACGTCACAAACACGTCATACTCCATCAGCCTTCATGGGTTATTTTCGGAAGGATGAAAAATAACCGGAAAATCTTGGAACTGAGGTTCGTTACATGTATCTCTTTGTCGGTGCTTAAGGATTTTTTTATTCTGTTTTTGCCACAAGCAGAAAAGTAAAAATGCGGATATTTTCTGAAGATCGTTTTTGGTCATCAAACAGGTTCTGTTGATATTTCTACCGGGAGATATTAAATAAATGGGTCTACGAGTACATTTATTTTTTCATCAACTGTTGATTTTCATTTGAGAATATGAACGAAATAATTAAAAAAATTAAAGTCTTGTTATTGTCTTTACATAATTTATATATTCATAATCACTCATAAAAGAAACAATTGATAATGCATTTATGTCGAAATCAACATGATTTGCCAGACCACCAACCCAATTTGAAATTCAATCCGGTGTTTCAGGATGGAACAGGAATCGAGACTACATATCGATACAACGACAATATCAGTTAAATGAAAGTATTACAATGGTCCTTTTTTTTTAGACTGATAGCTGTATACATTTACTTAGATTTATCTATTTATCAATAATGTAATATGAACTATTTTTCTATAGCAATTTCCAAACAGTTTTTTCCCAAATTATCGCAATCATTCTTTTTGTGCCCTAACGGAAGCACGCAGAGAATTTAATTCGTAATGTGGGAGGAAACCGGAGTATCAGGAGAAAACCCGCGTGGTCGTGCAGGTGACCGGGATCGAATCCGGCCATCATGGCGAAGACGAGTGCGCTATCCACTGCGCCACCCGACCCACCCTATAAGTTACGCACAAGAACAAATATCTACTTAAACTTTGATTGGAAGAAAATGGAGTCATTGATGCAAGCATTATATCGTGAATACATTTTTACCAAAAATCTATGATACAAAAAATCTATTTACGGGAGACCGGGTAAAGTTCGGCCACCCCTGATATTTATGTTTTTGAGCTAATATTTACAACTGTAAGAAGCTTAGCAGTTTCGTTGACTGAGCATTTACACGAAAAATTGGCGAGGAAAACTCTAATGTAAAATTACTAAACAGGAGAAAGTAACTTTGAGAGGGTAGAAAGAAAATCATGATCTTGCTTCTTTTCAGTTATGCGAACTTTCTGTGAACGGAATTGTTCCTTGTTTACGGTTAAACGTGTAACACGCTGACGGCTTCAAATGATATACATGAAAGCCAAGCCAAGCACGTAATATCATATTGCTGTGATATAAGAATTTATTGAAATATCAATTTGGTCCCGGAGACGTTGGGCCCATGATACCGGGGCAAGTTCGGCCCATGCAACACATTAACACTAAAACTCTGACGTTGCATTCTTTATGACGTCATAATTAAGCTGGCATATGTACCCAATGTTTTGAGCTATCGCAACACCTTAAGGTTTTATTACACGTGTGTAATACAATGTTCACTACCAGGCCGTATGACAGTAAAATGGGTCAGTTATGTGATACAAAGAGTTCTGTGATAGCTGGACTACTGTTGTTATGAAGGTGATATATCTATTTCCGTTCTGTCTGTTAAGATTGTATAGGATATTTGTATTGAATTTGAACGATTTGTTTTTCGGCAGTAGCTTCTCTATGTTGTGTGTCTATGTAACTGGTTTCCGCTGAGTTGGGTTGATCAATAATACTTCAAACTATATATACAACATCATTATGACTATATATTTATGACGTTTATGTGGATCACACAGCGATTATCAGCTGGTAAATATAGGTTTGCCGATTCATGACATCATAAAATCACGTATATCGTTTAAATAATTTATTTACATTTGTTATTTTTTTTTTATATTCATGCTTATAAAAATGTTCAGTTATTTTTACAGCTGGTTTGATGGAACACTTATGTCTATATAAAATTTATTCTGCGTTGCATTTTTAATTAATAACTTAGTTTATTTATTTCTATTATGGCGTCACAGGTGTAATGCCGTGATGATCGGTAAGCCCTGGTCAGTTTCTCAAACCTGCAAAATTGTATAAATATATTTAAAAAGTATTCGCGTCATAAAACGTCTCAAATGTCGTCATTCTAAGCATGTGAATGGCGTAACAACAAAAAGGATATGAAGGAATACTCCATGTTTAACTCAATTCCTTTAACATGTCAACAAATACGTCTAGTACACAGCGAATATGGGTCATACGGGGTTATACTGTACTATTTATATACGCGGCTAACCAGGAACTTTAAAGATTTCTTACACCTTATCTAGATGTTTACACATATAACCACAAGTCCGTGCGTACTCAGTAATGGCGTATACCCTACCTGGTGTTGTTGTATTACTACAACTTCTGACAGGTAAGTTTATCTACATCTCCCTGACAGAGATTACTCGTTACCGGTACATACACGTTGATGTCCTATGTTTTCAATCACGAGAGTAGTACTCATATGATATGTACCACACGAAGTTTCACACATGTATAAGTATGACGTGACACACAGCTATGTGTAATTGTTGACACTGTTCTAAACGTCATGTTGCATATCCTCCTCAGACAACCGAAAATGTTACAAAATCAAACCATGTAGGAATGCATGTCTCCCTTGGCCCGACAAACATACCGTTTTATGAATTGATATAATACTCCGTAAACACATCGGCTAGCAATACTTAACACAGTATTTATACTATGCTGTTCAGCTGATGATTAGTCAAGCAACATTGCACTAACGTGCGATTGACTGTAATACACATGCCGTTTAAATTTCCCAGTACCATTATTTAGAGGTGTAAGTTATATATAAGTTCAAACCGTCATTTTCAATGGCAAAAAAATGAACCATGAACAGCTCCGGTTTGAGTTTTCAAGACTACTTTATTCTCCTCTATGAAGTAATATCCGACATGTATATCAAGAATGGACAGAAATGATTAAAACGAACTTTAAGGAAAGATTATTTTACGAATAATAAAATATAACTTGACTGTATTTCTCGAGTGCTAACTAGTAAAGCATCACCAAAATATTATGAAATTTATAAACATAGCTTTACAAGCTGTTCAATAAAGTGTCCATTATACTTTGAACAATAATTGAGTTTGTAGAAGTTGGAAAAACTAAAACTGAATCTCCGTACAGCAGTTGTGACAGCTAGCATAGTTGATAAATGATACGTGGTGTATTGAATCACTATCGTAAAAACTACCAGTATCAACTGTATTACCAGAGACATTTAGAACAATATCGTTTGTATTGCTGTCCACACTTTTCACCAAGAGCACCTTCGGTCCTTTTGAATGTGAATATTTGCTGACGTAGTGTGTGGTGATTATTAAAAGTCTATACATTGCTATAGGTGTTTCCTTGGGAGGTATGTTTGTGTATTTACGCTTCGATTTTGAGTTGTATATATATTCAGTTTTTTTTAAACAATCCATGATATCAACTTTATACTTCCAGTAAATCTTGCAAAAGGAGCTAATGTTAATATAACTCCAACTCCTGTTGCCACGGTAACGGATGGCGACGTGTTATGGCTGACCTGTACATATGACCTTGGAGGAGGAACACTGGGACAGTTACAGTGGAAAGGTAATGACGGTGGGATTGTAGCAACTGTCACTCCTACAGCTGGAACTCCCTGTACGATCTCAGTCTCTGGGTACAACATTGACTGTGACAACCTGACTTCTAGCGAAGTCAGACTGGGCATTTTCAACCCTGTGCACGGTGATACATACAGTTGTTTTATCTACCTCTTCGACAGTACACAGATTGGACCAGCGTCAACACAGGTGTCTGTTATTAGTAAGTATCCTCTATCGTTTCATATGCTTAAAATAACATCATCATCGTAAGATTGACATACCGTAACTCACAGTCAGTTTTCAAATATATGTACAGATTATAACCAAGCTTCTTCAACACGTGGTTTACAAGGTCCATACATTAAACAGTTCCATTAAAATCTGCAGTTTTTAAAAGATCAATATTGTATACTAATAAATTGTAGGAATTTATACAAGGTCGTTTCTAAATTGAATGTATCTTAAGACTACGATGTTGAAGATGTTGATTAAGATACTCTTTCTGCTTACTGTTGTGTAATACTTATTCTGCATTGGTTATTATGCAAGTACTTCTTGTAACTGTTAAAGCCTGTTAATACCAACAAATTCCATAAACATTTTCCAATCACATGATATTTATAATTTTAACGTTTATTGCTTACTAAGTGAGACATATTTACATTATAAACTGTGGAGATGCTACAATTATCACTTACAAGATTGATTGAACATTAGGCTTTCTTCAGCAATTTGAAATAACCTCCGCTGATCCTTACACTGTCCTTTCTACCATTTGATCGATGACAATAATATCATAATATAATTTATACTATTGTAACCTACTGTGGTAATGTCTGTATTACAACGATAAAATGACTGCTTATATCAGAAGATCACAGTTTTAGCATTACATAGAGCCATAACTGATGTTACGCTTCAAATAAGAACGGTAAGTATTATATTTCGTCGGGCATTGTAACGGGTAAGTAATTCAGAAAAACAGACGGATCAGGCAAGAAATGTTATACACAACCAAGTGTACTGACATGTGCCTAGAAACTAGATATTAGTCTTATTATTACATTATACATACCAGAGACAAAAAACAATGCATAGTTGTCTAAACATTTAATTATAAACATCAGAGATAGCATACAGGGTAGAGTTGTCAAAATAGTAAGAAAATACACATCAGAGTCAACATACAAGGACAAATGCGGTAGTTTAATCGACACAAAACACATCTTTGCCGCGTGCTTCATTAAAAGAAATTCTCCCGATGGTTGATATTTCTCTATTTGTATCACACATGAGTGATGGGCCTGTTTGTTTTTACTATTGTATAAATAATACGATGGTGAACATCATGCATCTCACCATCGTCAAGGGTGCATTTACAACAAATATGATGACGTTTCCATGTTAACACCGCAAAATAGGACGACGTGATGGTGACGTTTTCAGAATGAAAGTGTGTGAGAGCTGCATTCACTTACTAGGTACATACATAGTTCTCTTTTCACTAGCGAAAGCGGGAAGGTCCTTGTAAAGGGTGTGAGATAATTTAAGCTGAATAATATAAGACTCTTTCATGCCCAGGGGTGTAGGATAGGGAAATTGCAACCGAGGGATTTTAAAATTTGATTAAACCCGAGGCATCGCCGAGGTTTTTGCCAATTTGACAATCCCGAGTGGAATTTCCCTATCCTAAATATATGGGCCGACAGAGTATTTTTCTCTCATTCCAACCACCAGAATAAGCTCAGAAACCATGAAAATGCGTTTGGGATGGCCGCCATTTTGAAAACATCAATTTTCAACTGAGCTTTCTAGACGAAAACGAATCAAAGCTAGCCAGATTTAGCATGTACCATATTTGCAAACAAAGTTTACACTGACAAATTAATCACTTTTTTTTCTTACGTGTACGGTAAATATATCGTAAAAGGTATTAATTTCATCACCTCGCCTTTTCCGCACTATGTCATCGGAAAGTTCCAAATTCGTGATGTCATGTCATTGTTGAGCAATTGTCACGTGAAATGGCGTGTAAGGTAAACATTGCTGCTTCATGTGTAGTATCCGTGATGAGTTTCCCTTTGATATAGCGGTATACCATAAAAATGTTTTATAGACCATTTGCAGTACCTTTGAATATGCTCTACATAATTTCAAACTAATTACGTTTTGATATATAGATGCATTGCAATACATTGCAATATCCTTTTATTAGATATGAACACGATAAACGAAAACGACAATATTATGTTGATCGATAATCCCATTCTATAACAATATTAACCAACGAAATGCCATGAGCAGATAGCGCCATCATTATCATTGACCTTTGATGACGCCTCGAATTTATCTTAGTAGAAATTTTTAGTTATGTAAATAAATAGACTGTTTACGCGATTGTTTCGAATACTCAAATTACATGAGATGTAAACTTTTGGTCCATTCTCGGAACAATGTTTTATTGTGATTTCTAGAGAGTTAGAGTGTCATCGCCTTATGGACAGCTTATCCCCTCTGAAAACGCTTATGGAGAACATTTTCCTAGGGACGTAAAATATTAATCTGCCCTCGTTATTTTGAGGGTTAAAAGTAGTTGCAACTTTAAAATGCCTGTTATTTATTAGTCATTAGGTGTGTAAAACGTAAAAGATTTACAATATAGGCAAACAGCAAATAATTTAACCAATTNTTAGTGTTACACATAAACATTAAAACACTAAACGTATGAAATGAAAGCTGACAATACATACCGTAACATGGGTAGATTGCTGAACAAGGAAGTTTTAAACCATAGGAAGTAAAATGGCGTTGATCATATCCCGTCTTGTTCTCTTCCTTGTCTTTATCAAGATCTCTGAAGGTATGTAGTTCTAAATATTATTGAAATTATTATGAAATCAGTTTTTGATGTAAAGTCATATATAACGTGTTGAACTATTCACTTAAATGTCAATACCGATAAACTGTTAGTTGTTATATAAAGTTACACCAGGCCGATCTTATCCGTTCTGTTTATCAACAGTTGTCAAGTTAAGTGTGATGTCGCCTTTTCTCATGTACATGTCGAACAGTCTGCTGCATCATATGTGTATAGTAATATCACGTTTGAATGAGTCTTTATTGATTTAATTTTATCAAATTGATAAACGTGATGAATTCGAATGTTTATTGATATGGCAGAGTAAATAATTTGATATTAAAATTCTATATGTTTATATCAAGCTATGGATGTAGATAAATGCACAGTCCTTCACACTCAAGCATTACGTGTGTTTCAGCTCAAACACTGACGTTGTCAGTGATGCCATCCTCTCCAATCCTGGAACACGAATTGACTTTCACGTGTTCTGTCGGTATGGACATCATCGAGAACACGCAAATATTTTACAAGAGAAACACATTCCTAGTAGGAACGTTCCTAGTAAACAGTACATCTTGTGTCTCTACAAAAACACAAGGAGGTCAAAATTACACATTCACATGTGGTTTATTTCCTGTCCGTGAACTGTTGCTTACTATTCCTGCTGCACACGTCACAGGGGATGAACAAGGAACAGATTGGATTTGTAATATATTTCTAAGTGGAGTCATCAGTAACATAGTACACCTGGAACTAAGTGGTTTGTTCCATTTCTGTTCTTTTATTTTCACTATACGAATGTTCAATATTTATAGTACTTACTAGGTTTAACGTTGACAGAACCATACATTGTTATGAAGTGCGAGTGTCAGAAACCTATATTTACTCTTGGAACTGATAATCACTTTCAACATGTAGTCGTAAAAAAACCCGTTCATATGATAATAACATATTTATTCTAGGATCTTATATACCGCTTTATCACAACCTTGTTCATAGGTCTCTCAAAGCTGTTCATAAAATTATTATCCGTGGTTGAAGGGCCTTTGCAACCAGCCAATATTTGTCTCAACTCCCCGGGGAGCATACAGCCGGTGCCGTTCTTTCGGCGCTCACAGCTAGCATTCTACAATTCTAACACTGCCCCACCACGTTCTCATTTATAGCAGAGTGAACAAATGTGTTATAAATAGTCTTGAACAATGGTAGGAGTACAATGCTACACACTACCGACAGACACCAGGCTTCAATGCACCAATACACTGAATACATTTAATAAGTGAATACTGTAACTTAAAACATGTTCTTTAGGTGAAAAGGTTGTGACGGATGGCGCATATCAAAAACAGAAAACATCGTTTTTCTTTAAAACGTTTTAAACCGAAATATATTGTACGTCTCTGCGTTAACCGCTAAATAAAAATGTAATTTAAATTCAGATTATCTGTGTGTACACCAATCATGTGTTTAACAGAAAGTCTGCTAATCGCTCGATCGAAATATAAATATATATATATATAAGTTTAGAATAATAAAAAACAAAAACAAAAACAAAAAAACAGGTTATGGTTCTCGTAACTACCATGTGCTAACCTTCGATCGGTCGGTAAGTCAGTCCGACAATCAATAATTCACAGACCATCAATCAATACATATCAATTAATTAATCAATCATTCAATCAACTACAGAATCAATTGTTATATCTAATAGAACTTAATAATATACATATTTATGTTTTTATGGCGAGGCTTATATTGATCTTGATTATAACCAGGTAAGTAATCAATTGCTTAACGTCCCGACCTTCACGTCTGAGCTAATTACCAGAGTAAAAATAAATATTAAGTGAATTTTCAGGAGATCGAAACAATCATTGTTTCAAACCTACATCCAGGCATCACAATATGCTGTCAAAAATACATAGTTAGACCCACAAATGCGATAAAAAGCTAAACTATAAAACTGAATAGTATACCCTTGGTTATAATATATAGGCTGTTAATTTACAAGAAAACTTAAACAAAAACACACATGGTTTATAATAGAGACAAGTAAAAGCCCTGAATTAAAATATCTGAAATAAATAATTTCCTCAGAGTTCAATATATAGTCATTTTAAGCTTTAGAAAAATACTTTACAAGAGACAAAGAATAATATCTAAAATGAATTTATAAACCCAAAAATGTCATCTTTAGACCACATTAATGTATGTAACTTTATTCAGCGTGAATTCACATATTAATATCTCAACCTCAGTTCAAATCCTGAATGTATACTCTCATCTCAAACTATATAGATTTCAATGTTTTGTTGAAAGAAGCCGTACATTTTCAATTAAATTAATATTTTCTAGATTAGCTAAGACGTGTCTAATCAAATGTATCAAACCATCAATAAACCCCGTTTTGTGTAATGAAAACTGAAACACATACTGATAGGAAAACGCTGACTGTCAGCTCCATCAACTATCGCAGGTAAAACAACCATTGGAAATGGTAGGAATTCCCTGTCACTAGTTCAGTTCCATTTCCCGGAACAGTTATATTGTGATGTCTGGAGAGATAGATTGTTATTGCCTTATGGCTGCTGAAAACGCTCAGGGAGAACTTTTTTCTTGGAGATATAATATAGTTATCTTATTGCGTGGCCATTATCCGTAGGTGTTTAATTCGTCACAATACAGGTAAAGAGATTATAACAGTTCATAAAGGTATACATCAAATATAAGAACATGTAGGATGATAAATAATGGTGTCACACGTAATAAAAACAAATAAAAAACATATTAAAATGTAAGCTGACGATACTTACCGTGACAAGGGCTTACCTAACTGAACAAGGAAGTTTAAACCATGGGAAGTAAACATGGCGATGATCATACACCGTCTGGTTCTCTTCCTTCTATTTAACAACCTCTCTGAAGGTGAAGGTATGTAATTCTTAATGATATTGGAATTATTTTAAGGTATTACTTTTTGGTAAAAGCTTAGATAATATTCGTGGTAATCACTTTACTGTTCATCTCAGTCCGCTGTCTATATGGTATGGTTTATATTTACATCAGGAAAACAGATTACCACCCNAGATTGCTGAACAAGGAAGTTTTAAACCATAGGAAGTAAAATGGCGTTGATCATATCCCGTCTTGTTCTCTTCCTTGTCTTTATCAAGATCTCTGAAGGTATGTAGTTCTAAATATTATTGAAATCATTATGAAATCAGGTTTTGATGTAAAGTCATATATAACGTGTTGAACTATTCACTTTGATGTCAATACCGATACACTGTTTGTTGTTATATAAAGTTACACCAGGCCGATCTTATCTGTTCGGTTTATCAACAGTTGTCAAGTTGAGTGTGCGATGTCGCCTTTCGACTTGTACATGTCGAACAGTCTGCTGCATCATATGTGTATAGTAATATCACGTTTGAATAAGTCTTTATTGATTTCATTTTATCAAATTGATAAACGTGATGAATTCGAATGTTTATTGATATGGCAGAGTAAATAATTTGATATTAAAATTATATATGTATATATTAAGCTATGGACGTAATTGATGCACAGTCCTTCACACTCAAGCATTACGTGTGTTTCAGCCCAAACACTGTCGTTGTCAGTGACGCCATCCTCTCCAATCCTGAAACACGAATTGACTTTAACGTGTTCTGTCAGTATGGACATCATCGAGAACATGCAAATATTTTACAAGAGAAACACATTCCTAGTAGGAATGTTCCTAGTTAACAGTACTCTTGTGTCTCTACAAAAGCACAAGGAGGTCAAAATTACACATTCACATGTGGGTTTTTTCCTGTCCGAGAACTTTTGCTTACTATTCCTGCTGCACACGTCACAGGGGATGAACAAGGAACAGATTGGATTTGTAATATATTTCTAAGCGGAGTCATCAGTAACATAGTTCACCTGGAACTTAGTGGTATGTTCCATTTCTGTTCTTTTTTTTTCACTATGCGAATGTTCAATATCTATAGTAACGTTGACAGAACCATACATTGTTATGTGGTGGGAATGTCAGAAACATATATTTACTCTTGGACCTGATAATCACTTTCAACATGTATTCGTAAAAAAACGTTCATATAATAATAACATATTTATTCTAGGATCTTAGATACCGCTTTATCACAACCTTGTTTATAGGTCTCTCAAAGAGGTTCATACCATTATTATCCGTGGTTAAAGGGCCTTTGCAACCAGCCAATATTTGTCTCAACTCCCTGGGGAGCATACAACCGGTGCCGCCATTTCGGTGCTCACAGCTAGCATTCTACAGTTCTAACACTGCCCCACCACGAGTGAACAAATGTGTTATATATAGTCTTGGCCAATGATAGGAGTATAATCTTACACACTACCGACAAACACTAGGCTTCATTGCACCAATACACTGCATACATTTAAAAATTGAATACTGTAACTTAAAACATGTTCTTTAGGTGAAAAGGCTGTGAGGAAGGCGCATATCAAAAACAGAAAACATCGTTTTTCTTCAAAACGTTTTAAACCGAAATATATTGTACGTCTCTGCGTTAACCGCTAAATAAAAATGTAATTTAAATTCAGATTATCTGTGTGTACACCAATCATGTGTTTAACAGAAAGTCTGCTAATCGCTCGATCGAAATATAAATATATATATATATAAGTTTAGAATAATAAAAAACAAAAACAAAAACAAAAAAACAGGTTATGGTTCTCGTAACTACCATGTGCTAACCTTCGATCGGTCGGTAAGTCAGTCCGACAATCAATAATTCACAGACCATCAATCAATACATATCAATTAATTAATCAATCATTCAATCAACTACAGAATCAATTGTTATATCTAATAGAACTTAATAATATACATATTTATGTTTTTATGGCGAGGCTTATATTGATCTTGATTATAACCAGGTAAGTAATCAATTGCTTAACGTCCCGACCTTCACGTCTGAGCTAATTACCAGAGTAAAAATAAATATTAAGTGAATTTTCAGGAGATCGAAACAATCATTGTTTCAAACCTACATCCAGGCATCACAATATGCTGTCAAAAATACATAGTTAGACCCACAAATGCGATAAAAAGCTAAACTATAAAACTGAATAGTATACCCTTGGTTATAATATATAGGCTGTTAATTTACAAGAAAACTTAAACAAAAACACACATGGTTTATAATAGAGACAAGTAAAAGCCCTGAATTAAAATATCTGAAATAAATAATTTCCTCAGAGTTCAATATATAGTCATTTTAAGCTTTAGAAAAATACTTTACAAGAGACAAAGAATAATATCTAAAATGAATTTATAAACCCAAAAATGTCATCTTTAGACCACATTAATGTATGTAACTTTATTCAGCGTGAATTCACATATTAATATCTCAACCTCAGTTCAAATCCTGAATGTATACTCTCATCTCAAACTATATAGATTTCAATGTTTTGTTGAAAGAAGCCGTACATTTTCAATTAAATTAATATTTTCTAGATTAGCTAAGACGTGTCTAATCAAATGTATCAAACCATCAATAAACCCCGTTTTGTGTAATGAAAACTGAAACACATACTGATAGGAAAACGCTGACTGTCAGCTCCATCAACTATCGCAGGTAAAACAACCATTGGAAATGGTAGGAATTCCCTGTCACTAGTTCAGTTCCATTTCCCGGAACAGTTATATTGTGATGTCTGGAGAGATAGATTGTTATTGCCTTATGGCTGCTGAAAACGCTCAGGGAGAACTTTTTTCTTGGAGATATAATATAGTTATCTTATTGCGTGGCCATTATCCGTAGGTGTTTAATTCGTCACAATACAGGTAAAGAGATTATAACAGTTCATAAAGGTATACATCAAATATAAGAACATGTAGGATGATAAATAATGGTGTCACACGTAATAAAAACAAATAAAAAACATATTAAAATGTAAGCTGACGATACTTACCGTGACAAGGGCTTACCTAACTGAACAAGGAAGTTTAAACCATGGGAAGTAAACATGGCGATGATCATACACCGTCTGGTTCTCTTCCTTCTATTTAACAACCTCTCTGAAGGTGAAGGTATGTAATTCTTAATGATATTGGAATTATTTTAAGGTATTACTTTTTGGTAAAAGCTTAGATAATATTCGTGGTAATCACTTTACTGTTCATCTCAGTCCGCTGTCTATATGGTATGGTTTATATTTACATCAGGAAAACAGATTACCACCCGTTAGATAAATACCGCCGTTGTACAGTAAGCGTGTGCTTTATATTGTACTCAGTCTTATGGCTTGTACATAACAAGTCTAAACAAAATATAAACGTAACTGATTACAAAAATGTAAGCTGTAGTCGGTCTTAATTATTACCGACGATTAAGCTCCCTGTGGCTGTTCTAAGCAACTGGTGTCTCAAATTACTGGTAGCATGTAAAATATACGAGTATAACACGGAGGAATAAAAACAAGGTATTCAGTTCAATTAATGTAGCTATTTCTCTATACTTTTCCGGTGACTATAAAAATAATGGTACCATGTTATTTCGATACTTTGCAATAAAAATGCATGAGTGTGAATTTGTATGTCTCACATGCCATCGTTCCAGTCTTTAATTCGGATGAGTGGTAAAAAGACCAAAACAAATGATGTCAGTGTATTCATAACAGAAAATGATTCAAAAGGAAATAAATATAACGGAATCCGTATACTTGTATATTTTTTATACTGTTATCAAGCAAATGAAACAAAGTTTCTTTTGAATAAAGTTTATAAGTCATAAATATGCAAACGGTATGTTAACGTAATTGGATAAATATTGTTCTTTTATTTGGCGTAAAATAAATTGCATTTTTTTTTAAGTAAGGACGTTTTTCTTATGAATGAATATCTTCTCGGTCCATGTTATTGTCTTTTGTGTCGACGTTTGGTCACGATCAACCATTGTTTGTTGAAGCTGTTGAGTATATTTTTACTATTCGACTCTATAAAGGTGCCGATGTAAAACTGACAGCATCACCGTCATCAGTCATAGAAGGAACACCACTGACTCTGACGTGTTTTGTAACACAGAATAGCTCCATATACGCTTCGTTTAACTTTATAAACGGCACAATTGTTGGATTTGTACAGTTGTTGGGAGGTGATTGTGTAAATGGTACAGGTCTGGTCTGTGATAAGCAGTGTAGCTGTACCACAGACGGTAAATCTTACTCCTGGACAGTCGCTAGTATGACCGGAGACTGGAACAATGTACAGATCAGATGTCAGATAAACAACCCTTCCGCTCAAACTAGTAATATTCTGCTGGTCGACGTAATAAGCAAGTATTGAAAACATGGACGAAAATATTTCAACCTAAACTTATTATAGAACTTCGGAAATACTACCATTTGTTTTAAGGTTATAGTATATTCTGTCACATTATATGTACATTGTATTGTGTATTTTGTAATACTTAAGAAATATATAACAGTTAATTTCCTGTATTAATCATTTTTTTGTCACTGGATTTTTTTTAAATTTTGGCACCAAACTGCATTGTGTTCTAGATTAAGTGCTTTGTACAGATACTTTAATTCGTGTGTATTATATCGATAGTTTATTGATCATTGATTTTAACAGACGGTTGATATAGCACAATCTTATTTCGGTACAACTTTGAGATGGCAGTACAACACATGAAAACACTCATAAACACGTATCGCTCAGTCACCGTTGTGATATCACAAAGCACACCATACAATATCATGCATTAAGTAAAATCAAATCGGCTGAAAACTCCTTTACTGATCAAAGTCTATTTTTTTGTATTTATTTGTTTGCATTAATATGAAATTTATGAGAACACGTGACATATGTGGAAATAAATATTTAATTTTACAGTTCCCGTGACAAGTGTGGAAATACAGCCACCTGCTGGTCAGTCGTTGAACATCACGGAGAACCAGTCCATTGAAGTTATTTGCGTGACCAGTGCCTGTAGACCCTTCGCCAGCGTCTTTTGGTCAGTTGGAGGGGTCAACGTCACCTTTGCCGGTGCGTCTTCTGTACAAAGTGTACCCGGTGACCTTTACATAACCACCAGCACACTGACCCTTACTCCAAGCAGGGCCCTGTCAGGCCAGACCGTGGTGTGTACTGCCTCCAACACGGAAACTCAGATACAGTCAACACGACAACCAACACTTAACGTTAGACGTAAGTGAAGTGATACTTACCAATACAAATATGCACTGTTACAATTTTATATCGGTATAAAGTCATACATATATAAATGTTGACAGCAATAATAGATTGTCGATACTCCTTGCCACAAAACATGCCCTTAAAGGTGTCAGAATAGATTAATCATGAACTAGATGATCTTAATGGTGTTGTACATTGAACTCTGCTATGTGACGACTCTTCTTACCGTGCATCATACCTGCTATGTAAGTGAAACGCTCTTAGTGAAACCTCCCCCGTATTGCAAATGTAAATAAGCGAGCCATTGAAGTGATTACTTTATCAAACGGTGGTACACGCAATTGTGCTTCTATATATAGTTGTAAATTTGCTAAAGAACAAACTTTGTTTTAACCTCTAAATCTACATGTCGAGCTCAAGATCAGGATGTGCATTCGATCTTAGCAACATGGTGACTAACAAAAGTGCTGGTTCACCTGTTAAGTATTGATTTCATATGATGACCAGCGATGTCGTTAGATTGATGGGTTTAATCAACAGATAAAAAACATCTTGTATGAAACATAACGCTACTGCTTATTATCGTCATTCATTGAATTGGGAAAGCAAATGGCATCTGAAAATGAAGCTTGTACGATTTCTAAACCACAATTGAACGGTCTGTCAACCAGGCGAGATGTACTATGATATTGAATTTCGGTTATTATTAGTATTAGTATAAGGGGGTTTGAACCGTGATAGGCGGATTACTCTAGTCTTATAGCAAATGAATACCTATAGGTATCATGTTACTGTCTAATAGACTCAATGCCACGATAAACACAATGTGCCACGAGTGTCTTTGTCTCCGCGCCAAGCTAACAATGCTTCGCATGTGTGACTACACTAACACAGCTTCACATATTCTATTGATGTTGTCCATGTCTCGTGTATGTAAACTTTAATTATTTTACAAAAATTATGAAATCAGTTATTCAAACTTATATTAATTACACTTGTTGGCCCGGATGTTAGTGCGCGGGTGATCTTAATGTGGGAGGAAAAATCACGTGGTCGGGCATATGACCCCATAATTTTTCACGTCCTATCGGGGAATCGAACCACGTTCATCCACGAGAAAGGCAAGTGCTCTATCCACTAGGCCATCCGATCAGACAATTCCATGTCTATGGTACCGTGAGTTACAAAGCACCTAGCTTGGTCACGATATCTCTACACAACTGTGAATCGTTGTAGCTAAACATGAACAGGTTTGAATGATACAGAACCTAGTATACCAGCAACAGAATCTTATCTGTAGTGTGTTCTTGTCAACTCTCTAACACAAAGTGGGCCGTCTGTATGGACCTGCTGCCATTTTACCCGCGAGGGAGAATATGTTCATATACTTGTAAAGAACAAATGTCAATAGTTTGGAAATCAAATGCTAATTGACGCCTGCTCATAACAAAAAAGTGGGGGCATGATCAAACTTTTAATGATCGGGTTCGCTAGGTAAACCTGCATTATATTGGCGCTTGGTCACTGTGATTGACATGAAACATTCAGTCACATATATTGTATGTATTATAATAGATACAATAAACATGCGTTTTAGTATTATGACGGATTATAAAAGTCGGGATTCGAAAATGTTGGAAAGATAACTAACTTTGGCCAAACGGCCTTCATTGATTATTTTTCCCAACTATTTTGTCACCTTCGTTATATAAACGCACGTTTGAGTTAAATATGAATCGAGTTCACGCAGCAATGTTTACCTACATGTAACTATGGATGTTTTATGTTGTTAAGATCTTCCTGAAATCTTGATATTACCGACCAGCGACCCGTACGTCATCCCTGAAGGGCAGAAGAATATAACCTTGATGTGTACTGTTACGTCTGCCAATCCGAATGTCTCATCCTTAGTCTGGACAAGGGAGGCTACTGAGTTGTCAAACAATGGCGTGTACAATTTACCCGTCATCACAACGGGGGATGCTGGAGCGTACTCTTGTTCTGCAGTCAATGATGTTGGTACAACGTCGTTAAATATAACGTTGAAAGTAACCAGTATGTATTCTTTTTTCCAATGTTTTATATTTATTTAGGGTTAGCAAACCATGCATAAACACATTGTTTTGATAATTGGTGACATCAGAGTCTAATAACGTGTTTATATTCTTAAATTGCTATATTGAGGAGTGTTTCATGTGATGCAGAAAGCAGATAGTCTTTCGCCCTAAATGTTGTAAGATGTGACGGCTTCATGTTGTCTTTCTTTTCGTTTTAGTATATATCAGTTACCTGTTGTTTCCTTACGTTAATGATTTTGAGTTGCAGTCTCGTGCTTGTTTGTTGATTTTATGGAACATTTGATCGATAAATTCACTTTTTCCGTGTTACATCTGACCAAGACAGTCATGTTTGATATTATATATAATTATAATTATCATATACTTTTAGCATTACCAACAACACCAAACATTGTTGGTTTTACGGTTGTGACGTCATCAACACTCACAGTGAAATGGACGCCTAATGACAAGGGAGATATGGCAAACGCATTCAATATTACCCACGAATGTAAAGACTGTGCAGAAGCTGAATCTACTTCCGTTAACCTGGCTGTCAGAGGGAATATATATTCTTCCAAATTAAACAACTTATTCCCTGGATCGGAGTACTATGTAAACATTACAGCTATTAACATGGCCGGTTCAAGCAGTCCCTTGGAACTTATTGTGTCGACATCACCAGGTATCTCACGAGCTTGATTCTTTAGCAATTTTGTGTACAGAATATGAGGATTGAACGTCATTTTTCAATGTTCATGCTGGTATAAACGCAAATCGGTCATATATACAGCATATTCCATCCAACCTTAAAATGCCGTTAACGATTCGGAAAGCTACCCATAATTTATACAACTTAAAGAGCCAATATCATATATAACTAATGATTACATTCCTATTAATTGATTGTTTCAATTACATAATCATTATTGCAGCAGACACGTGTCCTTCCCCTTTAGAAGATACCAGTACTACCTCGACTGCTTTGTTAGTGGTTGGAGTCATTCTTGTTCTGATTGCAGTGGCTGTTTTAGGAATTTCGGTCTTTGTGTACCGTAAGTATCACAAATTAATTTTTAGTTTGATATTCTGCGATTGTGGTAGCAGAAACATGTTATTTATCTATACAACACTTTTGTTGTAAATTCTTTGTTTCTGTAAAAGTAATATTTTGTTTTTTTCATTTTAAAATTGAAAGTGAAATTTAATTACAGCTATCTTCGTGCCTTCAATTTCGCTATGACATATGCTAGGGGTGCAGAGAGCGAAAGTGAGCGTAACCCCTGGTGTAACGAGGATGCACTTTCCTAAGAATAGAAGGAGTATTACGATAGCTACCTGATGGAAATTTACATAAGTTAATGGCAATTCATGAAGATGAATTCATGTATTTTACTTCGATAAGAAATAGTTAGTGACCTGTGCTGATACAAATTACACTTTTAATGTCTGTCACGTTTATATCTATAAGCAATACTTTTTCTTTTTAGGAAAATCACGGTTGCTCTCTAAGTAAGTAAGATTTATTAGAAATACAATATAAATGTGGAGATAAATAAAACAATATTTTTCGTATTTCACTGACTAAGGTTAAAGTTTAACTTTGACATTTTATTACGTATGGACGTAAATGACGTCACTGACCTTACTCATTGCAATTATTTTATAACGTCTTAAACATTACGATAAACATGTCCCCTGAGAACAAATTGTTCATTTCGAAGCATAAAATGATTATTGCACATTTCATACGTAAAAGATAAAGATGTATAGCAGCAATATCAGCATCAATCAGCTAGACCTGACATGTAATAAAAGTTTAAAGAAATCAAAATTTCCTTTCAATTGGATTTGATTTGTTTTAGATCGGAGAATAGAAAGGGAAATAATCAGAAACCTGTCAAGTTCAACAATGTACAGCAGTCTAAAGAAGGTATGTTATATTGGTAACTTACTAAATGCTTTAATGCAAGAATGGATATAGAAGTAAACAAGTATCCAATGTTGTTCCAATCGTAAATCGGTCATTTGTATTGAAATAAACTTTCCCAATATAACTTATGTCATATACAAACTTACATTTACTTTTAACATCCAGTAAGTGAAACTGATCAATGAAAATAGTGTTTCATGCAATAACCTTTTTTTTAAAGTAACATTTGTTTTAATGATAAATAGAGTTGACCTATCAATGCAAAGCCTTAGAAAGGATTAGAAGGTCTTTTCATCTACTCAATATCAGTTATAAGGAGATCATTTTCAACTCAATAACTGATACATAAAGGTTCAAAGTAAAAACACTACATTTTGAATAAATTGCTTTGCTTGAATAAATATTTACATGCATCAATTGCGTGACTGCCGAAATAAGTTTGTTACATAAAAATATTTGTAGTCAGGCGGTTTCTATCAAAGTGACAAATAACAGAAAATGACATAGTACTTTAGTCAGATATGCAATAGTGAAATGATTAGTTTAGGCCGAAATTGAATTGTTGTCCGTTAAAATAGATAAAACAATGAAGGATAGTTTTTAATGTCCATCCAGGTAAACAACAAGAAATTGTGGAGGAAAGGTAAGTATGAAGTCAATATATTTATCGACCTAAAATTTTTGTCATGTCGCTCAGTAAATTTTTACATAAATATGAGCGCATTTAGGTTGAAATACCACATAATTAATATCGTTTATTCGTTGAAATATAAATTTTACATTTTTCCGTAAACTAATACAATATCTAAATAATTAAGCTAATAGAAAATTCAGTAAGCAAAATGTACCGGTAAGTAAGGCGAAGCTAAGCTTTAAAAGAGCCTATCAAAAGCAAATTTATTCCATGTTCAATTACCCCACAACAAACTGATCAGGTCCTAGGTATTCGCAAATATAACAATAAGGGTACTATGCTAGTTTTCACCTCTTCATATTAATAGAATACGCAAATGTCGGTTGTTGCACAAATCATTTAAAACAGACCATGTATGTTGGTAAAGGTTAAAAGCATATTTTTTCATCTAGTACAAGCGATATGCATGTTTAGTCTAGCATCACCGATGAAGCCTAGAAGGACGAAACAGCATTTTGGTGCAGTGGAACTTACGTTTGGCGTATTGTATCGACTACCACATTTTCAGGGCGAATTGTTAAAATCCACCCGATAACACTATATGAAAAATTAAAACTTGAGATGAAAAATAAAAATTAGTAAAAAACATTATTATCATTTTCCGAACATGTATTTGAAGCGTTCTTATTCGATTCATATTTGTGTTAAATGAAATAAGGCATACATTGAAATTTTCCAGCTTTTATTTTTCTCCTCAAACATTCGTCGTTTTCATATCATGGCATAATATTAAAATTAATATTGTTGACTTTTTAGGTCTTATACGTCAACAACTGAACTGCTTTATATAAGTAGTTAAATAAATTATTTTCTCGTTAACAGAAATGATAACAATTTTCTCCAGTTTTACAAATTGTTCGAAAAAATAACCATATTATGATCTTGTCGCAATGTCATTTTTTTTTTTTAAATCAAATTTGATGATAGTAAACACCGTCACCTTACGACATTCGAGTGATATAGCTTCGTCGGAGAGATATCTAGACATATATGTTGACTTTAGCGTAATTTTCTAGTTAAAGTTATTGTCGTGATGATATAAATATTGATTTTTGATCAGATATGTTAAACATAAAAATGTTAAGATATTGCTTTTATTGTAGGGGCCACTACCAGGAGCTAGATCCAAATGACATACAGAAGCCCTCCCCATACTCATGTCTCTCTGAAGGTAATCTATTTTTAGCCTTTATAGAGTACAGGTTTTGTTCCTGTTAATTAATGTAAAAATGAAATATCTAAATGTGCTTATTACAAATAAAGGAAATAATAACAGAAATATTTAATGAGAAACACCAATATTGCATGGTTGCTTCTGTAAACAAACCTTTTGCAATTAAATTTGTTTTAAATAATGGATANTTTTCCAATGTTTTGTATTTATTTAGGGTTAGCAAATCATGAAAAAACCCACATTGTCTAATAACGTGTTTATATTCTTATAATTGCTATATTGGGGAGTGTTTCAGGTGATGCAGAAAACACACAGTCTTTCGCCTTTAATGTTGTAAGATGTGACGGCTTCATGTTGTCTTTCTTTTCGTTTTAGTATATATCCGTTGCCTGTTGTTTTCTTACGTTAATGATTTTGAGTTGCAGTCTTGTGCTTGTTTGTTGATTTTATGGAACATTTGATCGATATGTGCACATTCACCGTGACAAAGCTGACCAAGACAGTCATGTATGATATTATATATAATTACAATTATCATATGATTTTAGCATTACCTACAACACCAAACATTGTTGGTTTGACGGAAGTGACGTCATCAACACTAACAGTGAAATGGACGCCTAATGACAAGGGAGATATGGCAAACGCATTTAATATTTCCCACGAATGTAAAGACTGTGCAGAGGCTGAATCTACTTCCGTTAACCTGGCTGACAGAGGGAATATATATTCTTCCAAGTTAACCAACTTATTCCCTGGATCGGAGTACTATGTAAACATAACAGCTATTAACATGGCCGGTTCAAGCAGTCCCTTGGAACTTATTGTGTCGACATCACCAGGTATCTCACGAGCTTGATTCTTTATCAATTTTGTGTTCAGAATATGAAGATTTAACGGTATTTTTTAATGTTCATGCTGGTATAAACGCAAATCGGTCACATATACAGTATATTCCATCCAACCCTTAAAATGACATTAACGATTCGGAAAGGTTACACGAATTTATACAACGTGAACGCCTATTCACATATATAACAAATGATTACATTCCTATTTATTGACAGATTCAATGCAAATAATCATTATTACAGCAGACACGTGTCCTTCCCCTTTAGAAGATACAAGTACAACCTCGACGGCTTTGTTAGTGGTTGGAGTCATTCTTGTTCTGATTGCAGTGGCGGTTTTAGGAATTTCGGTCTTTGTGTACCGTAAGTATCACAATTTATTGGTTAGTTTGATATTCTTCGATTGTGGTAGCAAACACACATTATTTATCAATACAACACTTTTGTTGTAAATTCTTTGTTTCTGGAAAAGTAAGATTTTTTTTTTCATTTTAAAATTGATATTGAAATTTAATTACATTTTTTGTTTGTTTCAGCAGTGTCATAGAAACAGAGTTTGTGACACTTTAATCATCCTCGACACTCCAGCGTTACGCTCGCTTACGTTTTCTGCACCCTTCGAAAATGTTTTAGCAAAATTGAAGCTCAGTGTGCGCCATCTTGTTGATGAGACAACAAGACTAGTTCGATCCTTTGATATGCATCAGAAGAATCTCGCGGTCACGTAACAGTAAGAATTGACAGGCTTTGAAGTCGGGTGTCGCTCTTTTGTAATCTTCAAAGGACAGGTGTCAGCCTAGCGATTTTTTTTGCCTGAAACCAATCAATCAGCTATCTTCGTGCCTTCAATTTTGCTATGACATATGCTAGGGGTGCAGAGAGCGAAAGTGAGCGTAATCCCTGGAGTATCGAGGATGGACTTTCCCTAGAATAGAAGGAGTATTACGATAACTATCTAATGGAAATTTACATAAGTTAATGGCAATTCATGAAGATGAATTCATGTATTTTTCTTCGATAAGAAATAGTTATTGACCTGTGCTGATACAAATTACACCTTTAATGTCTATGTCACGTTTAAATCTACCAAGCAATACTTTTTCCTTTTAGGAAAATCACGGTTGCTCTCTAAGTAAGTATGATTTATTAGAAAAACAATATAACTGTGGAGATAAATAAAACAATATCTTTCGTATTTCATTGACTCATGTTTAAGTTTAACTTTGACATTTTATTACGTAAGAACTTAAATGACGTCACTGACCTAAAACACTCATTGCAATTATTTAATAAAGTCTTAAACATTTCGATAGTCATGTCCCCTTCGATTTTTTTTTATTTCGAAGCATAAAATGATTGTTGCACAGTTCATGCGTAAAAGATAAAGATGTATAGCAGAAATGTCAACATCAATCAGCCAGACCTGGCATATAATTAAAGCTTCCTTCCAATTGGATTTGATTTGTTTTAGATCGGGGAATAGAAAGGGAAATGATCAGAAACCTTTCAAATTCAGCAATGTACAGCAGTCTAAAGAAGGTATGTTAAATTGGTAACTTTCTTAATGCTATAATGCAAGACTTGAAATGTAAGTAAAAAAGTACCCAATGTTGTTCCAATCGCAAAACGAGCATTTGTATTGAAATAGACATTCCAAATATAACTTATGTCATATACAAACTTTCATTTACTTTTAAAATCCAGTAAGTGAAACTGATAAATGAAAATAGTGTTTCATGTAATATTTGATTTTTAAAGTAACATTTGTTTTAATAATGATTTTGTTGACCTATCAATGCAAAGCCTTAGAAAGGATGAGGAGGTATTTTCATCTACTTAATAACAGTTATTAGGAGATCATTTTCAACTCAATAACTGATACATGAAGGTTCAAAGTAAAAACAGTACATTTTAAATAAATTGCTTTGCTTGAATAAATATTTACATGCATCAATTGCGTGACTGACGAAATAAGTTTGTTACACATAAAACATATTTGTAGTCAGGCGGTTTCTATCAATGTGACTAATAACAGGAAATGACAACCATAGTTTTTTAGTCAGATATGCAATAGTGATTTTTGTGTTTGTTAGAATAGATAAAACAAATGAAGGATAGTTTTTAATGTCCATCCAGGTAAACAACAAGAAATTGTGGAGGAAAGGTAAGTATGACGTCATTATATTTATCGACCTAAAACTTTTGTCATGTCGCTCAGTAAATTATTACATAAATGTAAGCGCATTTAGGTTGAAATACCACATAATTTATATCGTTTATCCGTTGAAATATAAATTTTACATTTTCCCGTAAACTAATACAATATCTAAATAATTAAGCTAATAGAAAATTCAGAAAGCAAAATGTATCGGAATATTATTTTGTATTGAGTAAACTAGCTGTGTTGATTGCGCAGATTGCATTAAGTAAGGCGAAGCTAAGCTTTAAAAGAGCCTAGCAAAAGCAAATTTAATCCATGTTCAATTACCCCACAACGAACTGATCAGGTCCTAGGTATTCGCAAATATAACAATAAGGGTACTATGCTAGTTTTCACCTCTTCATATTAACAGAATACGCAAATGTCCGGTTGTTGCACAAATCATTTAAAACAGACCATGAGTGTATGTTGGTAAAGGTTAAAAGCATATTTTTTCATCTACTACAAGCGATATGCATGTTTAGTCTAGCATCACCGATGAAGCCTAGAAGGACGAAACAGCATTTTGGTGCAGTGGAACTTACGTTTGGCGTATTGTATCGACTACCACATTTTCAGGGCGAATTGTTAAAATTCACCTGATAACATTGATGAAAAATTAAAACTTGAAATGAAAAATAAAAATTAATAAAAAACATTATTATCATTTTGCGAACATGTATTTTCAGAGTTCTTATTCGATTCATGTTTGTGTTAAATGAAATATATATTGAAATTTTCCAGCTTTTATTTTTCTCCTCAAACATTCGTCGTTTTCATATCATGGCATAATATTAAAATTAACATTGTTGACTTTTTAGGTTTCAAACGTAAGCAGCTGAAGTGCTTTATAAAAGTGGTTAAATAAATTCTTTTCTCTTTAACAGAAATGATAACAATTTTCTCCAGTTTTACAAATTGTTCGAAAAAATTACGATGTTAAGATGTTTGTCGCAATGTCATTGTTCTTTTCTTTTAAATCAAATGTGATGATAGAGAACACCGTCACCTCACGACATTTGAGTGATATAGCTTCGTTGGAGAGATATCTGGGCAAATATGTTGACTTTAGCGTAATTTTCTAGCTGAAGTTATTGTCGTGATGATATAAATATTGATTTTTGATCAGATATGTTAACCATAAAAATGTTAAGTTATTGCTTTTATTGTAGGGGCCACTACCAGGAGCTATATCCAAATGACATACAGAAGCCCTCCCCATATTCATGTCTCTCTGAAGGTAATCTATTTTTAGCCTTTATAGAGTATAGGTCTTGTTCCTGTTAATGAATGTAAAAATGAAATATATAATTGTGCTTATTACAAATAAAGGAAATAATAACAGTAATAATTAATGATAAAGACACCAAAAACAACAATATTGCATGGTTGCCTCAGTAACAAGACCTTTTGCAATTTAATGTGTTTTAAATAATGAATATTTTGTAAATTTATTAAAAAAAAAATCTAATTTTTATGAGGTATGCGCACCTGTATCAACAGCGGAAGTACATTTATTTCTCTCTTTTTTGTCAGACAACAATGAGGCTGGCATTGAAACTGTAAGGTGAGATCAAATTTCGTGTGTATATAACATTAGTTATAACATTATATAGTCGGGAGACAATGATGATGGCACTTTGTAAATTGTTTATTTGCTGTTAAAAAAGAAACTGATAGTTATCTATAACAAATTTAAAAAAATGTATTATACAACATTATTTTAGTGTCCATATGTGGAGAAATACCTGTACCACGGGTAAGGAATCCGTTCTCAATTTGCGAAATACGTTTTAGACTAAAATAATGAGACAAATTATTGTCAGGGAAGCAAAATTGACATCAGTAATAGTAGTATTTGAAATAAGCTGCTATATAGTAAACCTCAATGTTAAACATTACAATAAGACACATTTGGTTTTACTTATTTAAAATCAATGTCTGTGATGATATATCAGATACTCACATATCACATAACTAATGTTGTTTTTATCATATTGTGTGTTCTCCAGAGGAAACTACGAATCCATCCACGGCGATTCAACCGCCAGACATGATTACATAGAAATCAAGGAAGTTGTTGGTATGTGGACGTAGATCATTAAGCAAATATTTGGTAGATTAATGTAGTAAAAGACTAACGTTGTATAAGACAAATAATGTATATATCCTGTAACTGAGCGAGATCAGGTTATCTCAGTCGAGGGCTAAGATTCTGTAACTAAATCCCAACCGAGGCGTAAGCCGAGGTTGCGATGTTACAAGATCTTAGCCCGAGGTAATTGATTGTTTTCTCGCAGCTTGTATTTTGAAAAAACTATTCAATTTCGCTAAAGACTACAAGTATCCCGTCTGGGGCCTCAAATAAAAATGACCTTTCCACTACTAAAGCTACATTTGAATGTTTCCGCGTAAAAATGTAGTCCGTCCTTACAAAGAAACCATGCATTTCAAAGTCTAGATTATATTTTATTTACAACATCAGATATCCAACATCAACAAAAATACATATAACGACAAAAATTATATTTATAATGCAGATTGTCAATTACAAGCCTTTATCGTGTGGATGAATACATCANAAAATTTGAATCAGAGAAGGGGCCGTTTTGAAAACCGGCCCTTTATTCAAATGTATCATCGTTTAACGTTTAACTTATCATTTTTAAATCTATGTTTTATAAGGTATGCGCACCTATATCAACAACGGTAAACATTTATTTCTCTCTTTTTTGTCAGACAACAATGAGGCGGGCATTGAAACTGTAAGGTGAGATCAAGCTTCGTGTGTATATAACATAAGTTATTACATGTATATAGTCGGGAGACAATGATGATGGCACTTTGTAAATTATTTATTTGCTGTTAAAAATGAAAATGATAAGTTATCTATAACAAATTAAAAAAAATGTATTATAAAACATTATTATAGTGTCCATATGTTGAGAAATACCTGTATCACGGGTAAGGAATCCGTTCTCAATTTGCGAAATAAGTTTTAGATTAAAATAATGAGACAATTTATTGTCAGAGAATCAAAATTGACATCGGTAATAGAAGTGCTATATAGTAAACTTCAATGTTAAAGCCTACAATAAGACACATTTAGTTTTACTTATTTAAAATCAATGTCTGTGATGATATATCACATACTCACATATCACATGTATATGGTTTTACTAATGTTGTTTTTATCATATTGTGTGTTCTCCAGAGGAAATTACGAATCCATCCGAGGCGATCCAACCGCCAGACATGATTACATAGAAATCAAGGAAGATGTTGGTATGTGGACGTAAAACATTTAGCAAATATTTGGTAGATAAATGAAGTAATAGACTAACGTTGTACAAGACAAATAAGATAGTTTACCTGTAACTATGCGAGATCAGGTTATCTCAGTCGAGGGCTAAGATTCTGTAGATTGTCAATTACAAGCCTTTATCGCGTGGATGAATACATCACAGTGTCAAAATTCCGCGAAATGGCACAAAAAGGTACCAGACAGATCGAACGAGATAGAAAAATCTAGCATGGAGTATGGCGTGAGGTGCGAGACAGGTTCATCTAATACATGTAGGAAGTAACATACTAGTATGCGTTTGAAACCAATGTTTCTTTGGAGAAAAGTACCTTATACCTAAAAGTTTAAATAAAGAGCGGGAGGAATAATTATTTCATAATTGGGCAATGATGAAACGAATCGGAACTCAGACCATGTGCACTGATATTTCACAATATACATTTTTCAGGATCATTATTTCATTGCAAATTTCCTCATGAAATGTTTTACACACTTGTACTGTCTCTCAGACAAACACACCAAACCCGCTGCTCCTGTCAACATGTGTATTCCAGAACACCCCATACCGGAAGTACGCTCCACAGTACAATACAATAGAAACCAAATGCCGGGTCATTAGATCCGGAACGCAAACACTACATCACTATATTTCCAAAATTTGTTATTTCGATTAATAAATGCTCTATGCATTTGAGGTGTTGTCAAATGGATAGCACTTTTGGACTTCAAATATCTCTTGTTTAAAGTTTGAAAAAATATTTTCCAATAAAGTCTATAGATTTGTTTTTTTTTAACTGTCTTATATTTGAAGAGCTGTTTGTTTTCGTGTTCATAAGCCCGAAGGTTTGACCGTTAATTCAGTATTCTTTCGTATAGGTAAACATGAACACGTTTTGCTACTGTCAAGATGAATGAATTAATGAAAACACAAATAAATAAAATAGAATAAAACGCGTGAAATATAACTTTCACACAGTTTATAAATATGATTCATAACTCATACATTATACAGGAAATGAAATGGTGAACTAATATTATACAAGGAATGTAATCAGGAATAGTTCCTTTCAGTAACATTTCGTTTAACACCGTTATTTGCATTTCTTTATAAAATACGATGCATTAGCACGACTACTGTGTAGAATACATTACAAGTATGGTTTAATCATCAGCTCACTTCATTGTATTGTATATTACAGGTGTTGTGTGTTACAGCTTTATATCATACACATGTCCTGTTATAGCGAATGTCCTAGTAAATACACAATACAATATTCACATTCGAAAAATGTTATACATTTCGCAGTTTACAACATAAAAAGGCAGATTTTTCATTTCAGACACAAGACGTTATGCAAACACATGAAGAAGTACATCCAACAACATTCTTCTCCACCGAAGAGAAAGCAGTACTTCATACCGAGGATGCGAAGGATTGATAAACGTTTCCCGTGAAAAAGGGAAATTATCTATATATATGGTTAGCAGCCTCATATGTCAATTTGGTTCAAAACATTTCTCAGATTGATGTTTGTCATCAAATACTCTAATGGTACTAGTTTAACAATGTAAGGTAATAACAATATATATATTTATCTTATAACGTGACCAATTTCGTCTCTAATATATCGTTATTTATGTTCTGTCTTTTAAGATTGTATTTAGGTTTGAAATGCATCTTTTAAACATTTATGAGGGTATGCAACACAGTTTCGTTCAAACATATTCCATGATGCGTGCTACATTTACGTTTTATTACATCTAATAACATGTATAGCACTAATAACAATTACATTTATTATTTGAAATTAAGAAAAACTTTTTTTTTCACGTATAAAAGCAAATCACCGTCATGAAAAAAATATTTATTCAACACCTTTTTTCGCGGGAAAGATGTTACGTTGACAACAGTGACGAAATACACAGTATAAACAAATAGTTCAACTTTGCATTTTTTTAATCATTTAGTTTAAATTACCAGCATGTTAAACAATCATTATTTAACTTAACAAAAAAAGACAGTAGATCTTAATTTGAAACAAAAATACTCTATAAAATATTTTAGTTGCAAAATGTCAGACATTTATTCCATGTTTGCGGAGATAACTGAGCAGCGGCTACGCTCATCAGGTCACAAAGCGGTTGGGCTTTCAATGAGATGGGTTGATGGAAATTGAAAGTGCATCCGTGAAATGTGGCGTTTCCTTAGAAATCAGATGACGACTTAACAGATGCTGTTGACTGAATTCTTGTGTCGGTCGGGATTAGATCATCGTTTGAACATTCGGCATGTGTTACCGTCGCTGAGGGGACTGGCCCACGAGCCTGGACGATTTGATCTGCTTCGCCTCTTGCAACGGATGTTAGTGTAAAGGACAGCGAATTATTCTGTTCTGTTGAAAAGGACCTGTTATACGCTCTTATAGCAGACACGCTTCGGTTGTCCGACATACACATGATATGTCCTGAATCAAAACCACAGTCATTCCATATTCTAGGGACATGTCCCTGACGTTGCTGCCAAACATATTGGCTTGGGCAGAGGTGTTGTCTGTGGCTCGATTTTGCACACGACGGATTTTAGACGCTGAATATGCGGACTTAAATTTCTTAAAACAGGGAGATTTCCTGTTGATGATTTCAGAAAGAGGATTAATAAAATATTCTAATATGGTTTTTAACCGTTCTTCATTTTATATTGAATAGGGGGTCAGGGTAATGAGCAGTGTAGACGACCATAGGTCAGTTTCAGACACTTGACCAAAGTCAACCAGTAGTGCCAGTTCCACACATTCCCCAGAAATCCAACATAACTTCCAATAAGATCCGAGGCAAGCTTTTAATATATCACGTGAATATCAATATTACTGGTGACGCAACACCGTAATAATCGTGAAGCGACCACCGGCTTGTAAATATATGTTATCATGTTCATGGTACAGTAACAAAGAAAAACAAAACGTAATGTTCAATCCATGTGAAGTTTTTTTTTCTTTTTTTTTCTGGTGTTTTTTTAAAAATGACTTTTTCCCGTTTTGGTTCACACATAGCCTTTACAACATATTACATGATTATCTATTTTAGTCCTACCGTTACCTATTTCTTGTTTCAGGTAAATACTGAATAATTAAATAACTAATGGGCGCCATTTTCCAGTTCAATTGTGAACTTGTTTGATCTGTATGAATTGTAAGCTTAACAAGCCAATTCTCTGTGGTGTTTAAAACTATTAAGACACCTAGTATTCACGATATAGTAATCTTATATTTGCAGATATATATGTAACGGCTTATTATCAAAAAGCAGCAGTTTAGCAATGTGATATTGTTTTCTCCATAGTAACCTAAGATGGTGTCCTTTGTACTTATTGCATGTTCTATATTTCATTTTATATGTAGTAAATCTGAGAATGTTCTCCAAATGGTGTCACATGGATACAGTGCCACATAAGATGAAACATACCTTCATCTTCATAGTTACAAAAATACTTTTTTATCATATTTTATACCAAATTTAAATAGAAACGTATTTGTGCATAGTTTTTTGTGACTTGTTCTATACTGAACATTTTGTATTAAGTAATATTATTTTTATCTCTAATAATTTTACTGTCCCGTTCACAATTGAGCTTTTCCACGTGCTAGGGATGGCTAATACATGTACCATAAACACCCATGCAGGTCGGGGATCGAGAAAAGAACATACCTGCTGTTCTCCACTGCACCATCGTCAGTAGCGCCTTATGTGGGAACCCCCGCAGAATTTGGAGGTGCTTTTGTGCCCTCTACTCTAAATTAATCTGCTGCACCAATTGCAATATTTGAGTTTATATTTTTCTTTTTACTTCTAACTACCTGTTATTTCTAGCGCCTTGCTTGGAAATACCTCATTTCTGGCTTTAATGTTGAGCGTTCGCCAAGGCGTGGAAGGCAATTGGTTCTGTACCCCGGGGAAATTTGCGAAAGGCCATTGTGTTACTATTGTTGTCAAATAAATCTGCTACATTATTTATACCCCGTTCTTTCCATGTTTGAAAATCTACGCTTTTATTATCTATTTTTATATCGTGATTTAACCAAATTGGCTGCGACAAGTAATATTGTGCATTTTCATGTTCCAAATGTAACGTACTACAAGCAAAAACCACACCTCTCCAGAAACTATCGAAATATTCAGCGATTTTTGTCATATCTTTTTTAACATAATAGGGAATGTTTTGGCTTCCATGTTTCTCTAATTACTCTTATAGAAGTAGTTTCCAGGGAGTTTCATTTTGAGGATCGAGAAATCTCCTTATCCAAGTAAATGTTAAAGCTTCAATAAAACTTTCTATGTCAATCATTTTCATTCCACCGTTTTAGTAACTATTTTGTAACGTAGATCTCTTAATGTTGTCTTTTAAATATTCCATTAAAAATATCAAAAACAAAAATGTGTTATTTGTCGAACAATATCGCATGGTGGGTTTGGTAAAACTGAAAATAATTGTACAAGAATATGGATAGCAATTGACTTCACAGCGGTGATTTTTCCAAATATTGTAAGATTTCTAAGCGACCAGTTTCTGCTATTTCATCATCCCTTTTTTATGAAAGTTTAATAAGTTTTTATAATGTCATACTTGATACCGAGGAATTAAAATTTTCCAATGAAGTTCTATTTCAATCCTCTTTCAGCACATTGGTTTTCGTGGCTACCCGTTTCTCTAACGAGCCAATACTGCCTCAGTTAGATCAAAGTTTGCTCAAAGTTATTTATAAGTCTTTGGAAGTGAAATATGTTCTATGATAATAACCGCATGTATGTGTTTTATATGTAAATGCATTGTCCATTACTATTTTGAGAACATGTTGTTAAGCTTAACTCGGTACTGACATCCCACATTTCTATAACAGTTTACTTTACGTTATTGTATACTTTATATGTTATCTATTCGGTTTTCCAGTAATCGGATACTTGTTACTAACAATATCATTAAATAAGCGTCTGAACGCCTCAATCTTTGTTTATTAAGTGTGTCTTTTAAAAATGAAAGTATTCGACAATTTGTTATTGGCAATGCCATTAAATTAATTCTAAGTAAGATATATGATACCAGCCCTGAAGTATTTTTTATTCAGAACCCGTTTAAGTCAAACGAAGCAAATATCAAAACACTTTTGAATTCGCCAGTTAATTTAGTTTGATTCAAATACATTATACCATCTATGTCAATCATAAAAAAAGTCTGTATGTCCCAACTAAGATTAGTGGATCACAGATAAGTGTCCTATTAACGCAACACTCGGGCAACAGCATTAATCTAACAGAAACAAAATATTCATTATTCCGTATCGGTACATCGGAAAAACAAAATTCAACCTGACTGAACAAGCACTATCTATTTTAAAAAAGAAACAAAATATTTATCATTCTGAATCAGGTTATTGGAGATACTGCAAACCGGGACATATATGTGCTATCAGTGAAACAGTAAAGGAATCGTGAGCGTTTTAATAATTGGTTAAAACATCTAGACAGGTGAGGTTAATGTATTTCTTGCAGGTGTCAGACTTCATCAACACGCATTCTAACACCAAGTAACATAGTTCAGACACAAAAGAGTGCAACGTAGAGAAAACAAATGTCCCCTATCAGTCAAACGATTGCTAGAAAAGTGGGTCTGTTTAATAGATGAAGATCAAAGGTCAGACAGTTACATTTGGTTTCCGAAGATAATCTATATAAAAAAAACTTGTCTGTAGGTAATATAATGATAGTTCAAAACATCTGATACTGTAACCTCCGTTCAGGTGGTGGTTGTTTTCTGATGTTGGTCATACTCACAGTAACGAATTACAACTTGTACTTTTTCTATAATAGTTTAGTTCTTTATTATTATGTTTTACCCATTGGACTTTTTGAAAACATTTATACACACACACATGTTCAAATGTCCAAAACCTTCTGCTTGTATTACATAATTCCGGAAGGACTCGATCTGAACAACTTCTTGTTGATGTCATGTTTGTATCAAGACAAACCACAACATCCATTGCCACATACGTGTATAATGGCAAATCTATAGATGAGAAAAAAGGGGATCTATTGGTCTCATGGTATTTTCTAAAGTGCCTTGACAGCGACTAATACAATCTGCAATAACATCTTATATTTCCACTGAGGATGCAAATGAAGCAAATGTCTAAATGCACTTTGATTGACTTTTTAATTGAGTTGTCATGGTAATATAGTTTAAAACAAATGCAATGTACAATTTATGCAAATCAAAATAAAAGTATATCTGTCCTCGCTTAGTTAGGAGGATAACAGATAAGTGTCCTATCAACACATCATTCACGTAAAAACTTCTTGCAAAGACCCTGGCATTAGTCTAACGGAAATACATACATCTTTCATCATTCCGTGTCAGTACTTCTGAAAAACAAGATTCAGTCTGACTGAACAAGCACACCTCATTTTAAGGGAAATAAATTATGAATCATTCTGTGTCAAGTCAATGGAGATACTACAATCCGGAACCTTTATGTGATAGCCCATACGGACATGAATTATTAACTAATCTAGGCAAGGGCTTTGGAAATACAAATGTCAGTCTGATAACCTAAACACAGATGAACAAGAATCGAATGACCTTATAGTCATTTGTGTGAGGTGATCATTTCTGATCACATTTAACAAACTTTCTAACTGTTAGTCACGTCACTGTAATTCACGTCACTTTTAGTCACGTCACGTCATTGTTAGTCTCGTCACTTTTAATCACGTGACTGTTAGTCACGTCACTTTTAGTCACGTTACTTTTAATCACGTCACTGTTAGTAGCGTCACTTTCAGTCTCGTCACTTTTAGTCTTGTCACTGTTAGTCACGTTACTGTAAGTCACGTCACTTTTAGTCACCTCACTGGTAGTCACGTCACTTTTGGTCACGTCACTGTTTGTCGCGTCACTTTAAGTCGCGTCGATGTAAGTCACATCACTGTGAGTGAAATTGTAAGAGAACCACGAGATACACAAATTTTAAGATTACGTTAAGACTACTTAACAGGTGAATTGGATGTGTTTCTAACAAGTGTCACATTTCATCATAAAGCTATCTGACAACAAGTTACACAATTCAGATACAAAAGAGTGCAAAGTGGGGCAATTAAGTGTCCCCTACCGGTAAGATTTATGCTAGAAAAGTGAGTTTGTTTTTATTAAGGTCAAAGGTCAAAGTCTTACACTTGGCATCCTAAGATTATCTAAATAAAATAATTGTGTCTGTAGGTGATTTCACAATATTTCAAAACGTCTGATACTGTGACCTTTGTTCAGGTTGTGGTCGTTTGCTCATGTGTGTCGTTCTGTGTATACATGTGTATTTTTCCTGTCATAATTTATATCGTTTTACCCATTGGACTTTATGATAAGATATATACATAGAGAGACAAATATACATAGTCCATTGTCTGAAACCTTCCGCTTATGGACAGAGTCGATCTGAATCACCTCCTGTTGATGTCATGAATGTCACAAGCATCACTTACTCAAACAAACAGTTAATACACAATACCTGATGCATAAGATACGGCCTGTCTGACACAATTATGCACATACATATTTTCCATATTAAATTTCGTGCATAAATATTTCACAAAATCGGTAATGGAATGGCGTTAGTGTAAAATAACAATGCTT